TTAGACTTTGATTTCGCTCTGTTCTCAGAGCACTTGATTTAGAGCAAAACTTTAGAATGATTTTTTTTTTTCATCTTAAGAAAGGTCACATCTTTTCTTTGAATATCTTCCCCAACAATGTCACAGGAGTTTCTTTTACCATCAGTCCTCAAAAGGGTTTTAGTCTTGGCTTTTCAGTTCAGAGGGAATGGTAATACCCCTTGCCTTTCTTTGGTCACAGTTCACTATAGAGTTATCGCCTGCTGTCTTGTTTTGTTTCTCTTCCAGAGTGAAAGAATTGAAAAAGGCCAAGGAACTTGAAGACATACAGCAGCATCCCTTAGCAATGTGACATTGCTTTTCAGACTGTTTTCATTTCTGTTTTTAGCAGAGACATGCAACAACAACACACACGCGCACACACACACACGTACACACACACACAATCCCTCTGCAGTTTTGGTGAGATCAGCTGCAGGATTTTAACAGGAATGTTTTGGTCATTGCATTTGCACTTTCATGGACAACTTTTAATTTGATCAGCAAGACATCTTGGAACTCAATCCTCTGTTGGATCGTGGGAAATCAAGACACCAGGAGGAATTGAAAGAGGCTTCCTCTTCTCAGGAAGAAGCCATTTCCTTCTCATATAGGGCTGTATTCAAACATCGTGTGGAACTGTACAAATATTTATACCAAAAATATAGATAAGAAAAGGTGGGGCTATACTAGCAACAAAAAAGAATGCTGTTCCTGCACCTGCCGGTCATTTCCAAGAAGCTGAATCTTTGGGATTGATTCTCAGTGGAGGGCTTAGATCATACAAAAATCTTTATTGGGTCCGTGTGTTTTCATTTTCTTCACTGTTGATTTTTGTTTGTGTGTTTGTTTGTTTGTTTTAATCTCTACAGCACACTTAATGCAACTTTTGAAATCTGCGGGTTTTTAATGTCTTGTGGAAATTGGCAGAGGGGCAGGTGTGTGGTAAACGGGTAATGCATGGGAAATAATGAGAAGCAGCTCACAGAGTTTCAACTTCCTTTCTTGTCCCCACCACCTTCCAAGAACCTGCGAGGGTAGTAATCATCTTGTCCCCTTTTTCATCTTCAGCACTTTAATTTTTTTGCCTTACTTTCATGTGCAATGAGAATTACTTAAGAAGTGGTAAAGCATGTAGCCTTTTTTAGTAACCTTGGAAACTGTAGTAATTCTAAGGAATCATGAACCTTGCCTGGACATTTGCCACCTAAAAGATCAGTGTGGTGCTGCGTTCTGGCCAGTAAATTCCATGTTTTTGGCTATATCTCATCCAAACTGAGTGGTTTCTGTGTATATATAGAAGGTAGAAATGAAAAGTGAGAAAATATTTGAAAGGGATTATATTAATTGCTAAATATTTTATTCACAAAGGTCAATAACATGGCAAGATAAAATTATTTGTATAGTTTTGTCTGAATGAGCGAGAAAAATGTGGATGTACTGTTTGTATATATTGTATATATTAAAACAAAGAGATATGTGCATGAAATCAAGAAAAAAGAAATGAACAAAAGCAAAGCATTAGTGGCTATGGTCTGTAAAATGAAACAAAAAAAACTTTATTTCACTATAAGAGTACTTTATTTTAAATGTTCTTTAGAAGAACATTTTGCTAAAGCATGACTAAACTGCAAAAAAAAAAAAAAAGAGCTACTGTATTTAGACTTAGGAAAAGAGGCAGAGTAACATTACTTAAAAAAAAGGATATGTTTACATTTAATTTTAGCTACCAGGAGTTTAGTTTATTTTATTTAAAATTTTTTTGCCAATGGTGCCAAGTAATGTGAATGCTAATACTGCTTAAGAAAATTAAGTTACTTTTGCAAAACGGATAATCGTAAGATGAATCAGTATGTAGCTTAACACCACCCACTCACTCCAACAAAGAACACTTAGAATGATCAAAAACCTGACAAAAGAAATAGTATGAAAAGTAGAAAAATGTCACGTTTCCATATCTCCTGCTGGAAATCAGAAAATGTATTAAAATTGCACACAAAAATAACTAAAAATGAAAAAGATGCAGACTGGTCTTTAGAGATGGCATGGTATATTACTATTTCCACATAATAAGGAGCCAAAGAAATCTGATGCTTTTAACAACGAAACTAATGTTAAATTGAGAGAATAAAGTTCGCATTTACTGATGCCAGTTTAAAATTCCCAGGTTACGTTTGAGGATCAGTTGGTGTAAAGCTGAGATGTTTTTTCTTGGTTCTGGCTGCCAACTGTGAGTTAAAACTCAAGGCTTGTTGTGAAGCCTAAAAATATTCACAAATAAGCTTTTAAACTGGTGTCTTTGGAAGGAAGTTCGAATCAGATTGTGGTAAAAACTGGGGTCAGTGCTCTTGGTGCCTTTTCTATAATTGTACTTGTTTTTTAATTACTTCCTTTCACTGCCAACCTCGAATTACTGTACAGTATATGTCTTTCTGCTTGTGATCAGCTTTGACAACAGTGACAGCCCCACAACTAGTAGCCACCTGTACATTTGTAAACTGACCTGACTCAATTTTGTTTTTAAATGTGTGGGTTCTGTTGCAGCTATTGCAGTCCCCCAGATTCCTATTATTTTACACAATTTGACCTATAGGTGGACACTGAGTAATTTACGAACACAAATGCATTCATAAATGGGAACAGAACGTGAAAGCCAGCTCTTTCAGAATACCCCCATATGAATACTGAATTGAGATATCTTTATTCCATTTATTATGGTACAAATAACTGATCTTTTGACCAGAGTAATGACCTCAGTGGATTTGCTTTAACCCTCACATATATATTTTTTTTTAATGTTTCACGTTACATTATTAGCTGAATATGTTAGAAAATTACAGATGATAGAGACTTCCATAGAATTAAGAGGGTTCTCATGGAGGGGATAGGAAGTAGGTTTAAAGCCTGCCGATGTAACCTACCAGTACAACTGTGAATCCTAGGTGAGGCAAAAATGCACTTCCACTGAAATGAAGCATTTCTGACCGCTTTTTCTTGGTTATGAATCTTAATTTTGAATATAAGATGATAGGTAAGCGCAGCTTTCTTGGATAATCTGAATTCCCAAGTGCCAGGAGTAGGATTTCATTATAAAATTAATAGCTAATCTTATTCTATCTCCTGAAGATTTAATTGCTATTCTTGTTACCCATTCGAAATCAGCTGTACTGTGTGAACGAAATAAAAGACAATAACACGAACCCCTCTCTGGCTGCACGGTCGCTTATGGCAGTTCCACACAGTAGTTGGCGCCCAATGGGGGGTCCCTGAGACTTGCATGTAAAACTAGTCTAGATGTCTTCTTTTTTGTAAGTTTTATTTTTGTAATTGTGCATGTAAAGCATCATTGAATCAATGGATCTGTTGAAGAACTCAGCTGCTGGAAACCATGCAAAATGTTTTGAATTGCCCTTAAAATATGGAAAATGTTTTCTGAATGCTTTATATTCTTTCTGCTGTAAATTAAAAATGAAGAAAATTTCCCCATACTACGTGTGTGTTTTGCTTTAATGTGACTGGGTAGTGAAATCCAAGCTGATAGGCACATGTTTCAGAACATACTTAACAATTTCAAATATTTCCTTCTGATCCAGATGTAATGTTTTGACTCTGAATGTTACATTGTTTCAGATAGTCCCACGAAAGAAAAAATGTCTTGGAGCCACCATTCCGAGAGCTTTCGCCTCTTTCCAGCACCTCTCAACATACCAATCATTTGTGTGAGGCAGTGCAGGTATTTGAAAGATAAAGACATTAATTAATTCACCTTTTCAGTTACAGTCCTCTGAAGTCTTCTAAAAGGCATTTTGCAGCAGATTCCGAACGTTCTCCTTTCTGAGTATTCTGTCATCACTGTTCCATTCCCTTCATTATCTCCCTAGTGGTCCCTCTGCCAATCTAATCCACCTGGCTGCTACTGCCAGAGAAATTCTGCATCGCGGATCGAGCGCCCAAGTCTGCGAGTCAGTGGTTTCCAGGGCCCACTACATTTAAATATTTTTCTTGTTTCTCCTCTTTATTCAGTCTTCTTTTCACCTTGTACCCAACCTGCACCTTCTAGGTGGTCTGTGCACAGTGCGTCCATTTTCACTGCTGTCTTTGTTCATGGTGTTTGTCCATCCCTTACCTGGAAAGTTCGCTTTTCCACTACTCAAATCCCACCGTCTTTGTGACACTCTCGTTTATTCGAATATATATTAACGTTTCCCTTTTCAAAGTATTCTATGTAGAGTTGGAAAAGGCAGCATAGTACTGTACTTTTTACTTCTCATCTAAGAGACCCCCCGAATGACCTATTAGTGGCTGTTTTTTATGTAGGAAAGTGTTGGTAGGAGTATTTCAGTAACAAATACATTACAAAGTAACTCACTGCGCTCAGATTTGTGCTTCCCTCCCTTCAGTCAAAACCTGAGGACCTATTCCGTGCTAGGGCCTGAAAATACAGAAATGAAGAAACTACAGCCCTGACGCCAAGGCTCTCGTAAGCAGGTTATAGTATGATCTGCAGTGACAAATATTGGTGTTACCGAAGAAAACATGAAGAACGGTAACGTCACCTAACCCCAAGCCTGTGACAAATACCCGAAATGGACTTCTTATTTCATTTTAACTACTTTCTTAGAGAAACACGGTGCCCCAGGATCACTAAATTAATCTGGAACGTTCAGCAGCAGCCAATCATCTGCGTCTCATACTGTTAGAGCGAAGTGCTCCCTGGGCCCAGAATAACACGAGATGCCCCCACCCTCACCCACACAGTCCCTCGCCTGTGCCTGACGTACCACTTTTGCAGATCACGTCCCCAAGTGCCTGCGCGGGCTCGGTGCGGAGAGGGAGCTATATTGACCTGCACTCTGCGTCTCGGAGCCCGAACCGCCCTGGACCCCCTGTGGCCCTCAAGTTCCCAGGTAGCTTCGTCCGGGGGACGCGCCCGCCCACTTCCGGCGCGCCCCTCGCGGCCCAGCGAGCCCCGCCCACTCCCGCCGGCCCCGCCCAGTGACGTCTTTGCCTCGCGCCGCGCCGCGCCGCCCCGCCCATCTCCCTGGCCGCCTCGGGTCCCGGCTGCGCTTCTCTCCAGACCCTCGCTCGCCGCCGCCGCCAAAATGTAAGTGACTTTATGCTACGCGGGCGGCTTCGGGCTCCTCAAGCGGCAGCTCGAGGCTGGGACTGCCGTACTGCCCAGTTACCGCCGGCCGCCGCTCGGACGTACGCCGGGGCTGCGCAGGGATACCAAGGCCTCGGGGTGGGCGGTGGCCCTGGGGGCGCGGGCTGCGGACTGGCTGGGTGCGTCCCGCGGCCAGCGGGCGGACGCGGAAGGGGCGAGGGCGGGGCGGCGAGGCGCTTCCCGGAGGAAGTTAGCTGCCCGCCGCACCCCGCTCCTCGCCCCTTCCCCTTCTAGCCCCCGAGGTCCGTGAGAGGAACCGGGACAACTGGTCTGGTTCGGGAGCGCCCGCGCTCAGCCCGGTGCTGCGCTCGGCCCCAGAAGTTGCGAGGGAAAGGACCTCGGGCCTGTCCTGAGCTCCTGTGGCCCGAGGTGCTCCTTGCCTAGCTAGGGGCATCTACACTGGGAAGATGACTTTACCCTGGGCCTTCGCTCTCAAGCGAAAGCGCTCTTGTGGCCCTTGCAAACCGGTGCTTCCAACGGTAACGGTTAGAGAATGCTAATTGGTTTTTTTTTTTTTTTTTTCCCCAGACGGGGTTTCTCTCTTGTTACCCAGGCTGGAGTGCAATGGCGCGATCTCAGCTCACCGCAACCTCCGCCTCCTGGGTTCAAGCAATTCTCCTGCCTCAGCCTCCTGAGTAGCTGGGATTACAGGCACGCGCCACCATGCCCAGCTCATTTTTGTATTTTTAGTAGAGACGGGGTTTCACCATGTTGACCAGGATGGTCTCCATCTCGTGACCTCGTGATCCGCCCATATCGGCCTCCCAAAGTGCTGGGATTACAGGCGTGAGCCACCGCGCCCGGCTGAGAATGCTAATTGTTAAGAATCCCAAGGACCTTCTCTTCCACCTCCATTTTGCTCATTGCTCACTGTCGGAGGAAGCCCCGGGTTTCTTCCAGGAGCTGGCGACACACTTCGAATGTTACTGCTAAGGCTGTTGTTTCAATAGATCACAGTGGTTAAGATCTAGAGCCAGGTCGGGCGTGGTGGCTCATGCTTTTAACCCCAGCTCTTTGGGAGGCTGAGGCAGGTGGATCACAAGGTCAGGAGTTGGAGACCAGCTTGGCAAACGTGGTAAAACCCCGTCTCTACTAAAAGTACAAAAAATTAACCGGGTGTGGTGGCCTGTGCCTGTAATCCCAGCTACTTGGGAGACTGAGGCAGGAGAATCGCTTGAACTCAAGAGTCTGAAGTTGCAGTGAGCGGAGATCGCACCATAGCACTCCAGCCTGGGCGACAGAGCAAGACAACGTCTCAAAAAAAAAAAAAAAAAAATCTAGATACAAGGTACACAGGACCTGATCTAAAAACAGGCTGTACTACAGCCAGCTGTGTTGACTTTCTAAACCTCACTTTACTCGTCTGTAAAATGGGAGTAATATTCCCCTCAGAGTTTTGAGAGTTAAAGAAGAAAATGCATGGGAAGAGTCTAGCCAATAATGACTTGAGAGTCAGAGTGGTTAAGAAAGATCTGCCTGGGGAGAAATAAAGCCTTTCATAAAGATTTTAAAAGGTGAGTACCTTCCTGGGCCGGGTGCAGTGGCTCATGCCTGTAATCCCAGTACTTTGGGAGGCTGAGGCGGTTGGATCACCTGAGGTCAGGAGTTCGAGACCAGCCTAACCAACATGGCGAAACCCCATCTCTACTAAAAATACAAAATTAGCCAGGTATGGTGGCACATACCTGTAATCTCCTTGGGAGACTGAGGCAGGAGAATCGCTTGAATCCAGGAGGCGGAAGTTGCTGTGAGCCAAGATTGCCCAGTTGCACTCCAGCCTGGGCAACAAGAGCAAAACTTCGTCTCAAAAAAAAATAAAAATAAATTTAAAAAAAAAGAGTACCTTCTTAAAAGAGGAAGCATTGCTTCAACTCACCTTTCCAAAAAAGAAAAAAAAAAAAGGACAGTAGAGTTTACCTATCTTGGGATCAGATACTAAAGGGATACAAAGTAGATCCTATTAAACCTTCATGTTTGTCCCTTTAGTAGGTGGGACAGTCTTGGAAATTATAGCGAAATTAGAAAAAATGCCATTAAAATTGTTCATTGCTTCAGGAAGAATTTTTTTTTCTGCTTTAGTTCTGATGTAAGAGATTAACAGTGTGAGAGTCCCAGAGTAACACCTGTCTTTTTTTTTTTTTTTTAAAGACAGAATTTTGCTATTGTTGCCCAGGCTGGAGTGCAATGGTGCCATCTGGGCTCACTGCAACCTCTGACTCCCAGGTTCAGGCAATTCTCCTGCCTCAGCCTCCTGACTAGCTGGGATTATAGGCATGTGCCACCACTCCAGGCTAATTTTGTTTTGTTTTGTTTTGTTTTTTAGTAGAGACAGGGTTTCTCCATGTTGGTCAGGCTGGTCTCAAACTCCCGACCTCAAGTGATCCACCCGCTTTGGCCTCCCAAAGTGCTGGGATTACAGGAGTGAGCCACTGTGCCTAGCCGACATCTTTATACTTAAGAAAATGTATTTAGAATGGGAATTTACTCATGCTCCTGCCTTTTCGTGTTCCAGGTCTACAGGTCCAGCTGCTGCCACTGGCAGTAATCGAAGACTTCAGCAGACACAAAATCAAGTAGATGAGGTATTGCTCTGAAATGTTGGAAACATGAATTTTAAACAAATATGAGAGCACACTGGAAATCTGTTTAGAAAAAATATGAAGTGTAGATGTAAAGCAAATTCTGACTGTATCATAATTGTAACAGAATTTTGCTCCCTGCTGTGCTGGAAGATCTGATCTAAGCAAAATTCAGACTCTAGGCTTCATGCTTGATTTCCTGTGATAGAATCACAAATCTGTATTGTCTCAGGAAAAATAAAAAATCATATACCTAAAACATGAACACCACTCCTTGAGTACACTCCCCAAGAACCCCTTGATAAAATAGGATAATAAAATGTTAAGGATAAGGGCCCTAGATTGCTCAAGCCAGGACCAGTTCTTCTGTTGAGATTTTTTTATGGAAATGCTTTGTCCTGTAGTCTGACTTAATAGTTACCCCGCCTGAGCAAGCCTCTCTGTAAAATTCCTCTCTGACAGTTGTCCATTGACACACAGAAGGTAGAGGCTGTCAAACTCCATTAGCCCAGCACATCTCTCTTTGTAGAATTCTTGAGCTGGAGGACCTTCATCTTTTGTTCTGCGCTGTATGTGGAGAACCACAGCAGAAGATTGAGAAATTCAGGCTAGTATTTCCACATTCCTAAAAGCTGTCACTATCCGACAAATATATTTCAGTCTTTCTACATTTAGCTGTCCTGAAAAAAAGTTAAAGTTATGTTAGATACTGTTGTTAAATAATAATGTTTTGATCTGATGCTTTTATCAACTTCTAAACATTTTAGATTTCCATAGTAAGAAACCCATTGTAATTCTGTCCTGCCTGAAGCTTTTGTTTACTTACAATATCAAATTGGATTTTTTTTTAACCAAAGGAATTTTAAGGAGATTTTTTTTTTTTTTTATTATTGAAGCAAAATTCCCATAACGTACAACTAAACATTTTAAAGTATGTACTTGAGTGTCATTCAGGATATTCATAATGTTTTGCAATCATTGCCTCTTTCTATTTTCAAAACTTTTCCATCACCCCAGAACACCTCATATCCATTTAGTAATCATTCACTATTCCCTCTTCCTCCCATTCCTGGTAACCTCTAATCAGCTTTCTATTTCCGTGGATTTGCCTGTTCTGGGCATGTCATAAAAAAGGAATCATACAATGTGTGGCCTTTTGCAGTTACCTTCTTTCACTTAGCACACTAATACTCTTCTCGTTCATTCGAGTTGTAACATATTGTACTGTGTTCCTTTTTATGGTTGAGTAATAGTCTTGTTGTGTGTGTATAAACAATTTATTGATCCACTTATTTGTTAATGAGTTTCAGTTGTTTCCACCTTTCAGCTATTATGAATAATGCTGTTATGAATATTCACAGACGAGATTTTGTTGAGACATAAGCTTTCATTTCTCTTTAATGTATACCTAAGAGTAGCATTGCTAGGCCCTAGTAACTCTGTTTAGTTTTATGAGGAACTGCCGAACTGTTTTCGGCTGCATCACTTTATTTTCCCACCAGCGATGTCCAAGAGTTCCTGTTTCTCAACATCGTTGCCAACACTTGTTTTCCATTGATTTGATTATAGCCATCCTACTGAGCTCTTTGGTCTTCATTTGCGTTTCTCTAATGATTAGTGATGTTCAGCATCTTTTCATGTGCTTATTGGCCATTTGTGTGTCTTTTAAGTAATATCTGTTTAAGCTTTGCCCATTTTTTAATTGGGTTGTTTGTCATTCTGTTTTTGAGTTGTGAGAGTTTTTTTTATACATTCCGGATATTAAATTTTTCTTTATCAGACGTGATTTGCAAATAGTTTCTCCCGTTCTGTGGGTTGTCTTTTACATTCTTCATAATGTTCTTTTTTTTCAGTTTTTATTTTTTTGAGATGGAGCCTTGCTTGTTGTCCAGGCTGGAGTGCAGTGGTGCGATCTCAGCTCACTGCAGCCTCCGACCCCCAGGTTCAAGGGGTTCTCCTGCCTCAGCCTCCAGAGTAACTGGGATTACAGGCGCCTGCCACCTTGCCCGGCTAACTTTTTGTATTTTTAATAAGAGACAGTGTTTCACCATGTTTGCCAGGCTGGTCTCGAACTCCTGACCTCAGGTGATGTGCCTGCTTGGGCCTCCCAAAGTGCTGGGAGTACAGACGTGAGCCTCCACTCACAGCCTGATAATGTTCTTTGATGCACAAAAGTTTTCAATTTTTATGAAGTCCAGTGTATCTGTTTTTCCTTTTGTTGTTCTTGATTTTGTTATCAAATCTAAGAATCCATAGTCAAATCCAAAGTAATGAAGATTTACCCTTACGTTTCATTTTAAGAGTTTTATGGGGTTAGCCCTTAAACTTAGACTGTTGATCCATTTTTGTACATAGGGTGAGGTAGGGATTCAACTTCACTCTGTTACATGTTGGCTCTTCAGGTGGCCCAGCACTGTTTATTGAAAAGACAGTTCTTTCCCCTGTTGGACGGCCTTGGCACTCTTGTGCTATAGATCCTTGGGTTGATTTCTGGACTCTTGGTTCTATTCCATCAGTCTGTATGTCCTTATGTCAGTATCACACTGTTTTGATTACTGTAGCTTTGTAAGTTTTGAAACTGGGACGTGACTTTGGGGAGTACCGCTCCCTTAGCAATATTTTTAAGTCTTCTAGTGTGTCAACATAGGATGTCTTCCCATTTAATGATGTCTCTTAGCAATTTCTCTTAGCAGTGCTTTCTAGTTTTCATTGTCAAGTCATTCACCTTTTGGTTAAATTTATTCCTAGGTATTTATTCTGTTAGATGCTATTGTAAACACAGTTGTTTCCTCAATTTCCTTTTCAGATTATTTGTTGCTGGTGTATAGAAACACAACTGATTTCTGTGTGTTTCTGTTGTACCCTGCAGCTGTACTGGATTTGTTAGCACTAGCAGTTTGTTGTGGCTTCTTTGGTATTTTTTATGTAGAGAGAATCATCTGCAAGTACAGATAGGTTTATTCTTCTTTTCCAATTTGGATACTTTTTCTTTCTCTTAACTAATTGCTTTGTTCAGAACTTATAGCACAGTGTTGAGTAGCAGTATGAAAGTGAACGTCCTTGTCTCATACCTGATCTTAACAGGGAAGTCTTTCATCACTGAGCATACTAGTTGTGGATTTTTCCATAAATGCCCTTTATCATATTAAGGAAATTCCTTTCTATCCTTAATATGCTGATTGTTTTTATCATGAAAGAGTAGGCCCATTATTTTCAAAGTGAAAGTTTGGCTCAAAGTAATAAAGTGCTGACCTGGAAGAAACAATGTGCCTGTACACTGTCTTTGAAATCTCTGTTCCTCCATTTTTTTTGAGACAGAATCTCATTCTGTTGCCCAGGCTGAAGTTCAGTGACGCGATCTCACCTCACTGCAACCTCTGCCTCTTGGGCTCAAGTGATTCTCCTGCCTCAGCCTCCTAAGTAACTGGGATTACAGGCGCCCACAACCATGCCTGGCTAATGTTTTTGTATTTTTAGTACTGAGACAGGGTTTTACCATGTTAGCCAGGCTGGTCTCGAACTCCTTTGCACAGGTGATCCACCTGCCTTGGCCTCCCGGAGTGCTGGGATTACAGGTGTGAGCCACCGCACCTGGCCCCTGTCCTCCATTCTTTGTGCCTTACTTGCTGTGATCACACTCATCTAGGTGGTGGACATAATGCGAGTTAACGTGGACAAGGTTCTGGAAAGAGACCAGAAGCTCTCCGAGTTAGACGACCGTGCAGACGCACTGCAGGCAGGTGCTTCTCAATTTGAAACAAGCGCAGCCAAGTTGAAGAGAAAATACTGGTGGAAGAATTGCAAGGTAATTTTATTTTCAGTCACCTTTACATTAAGTTCCCTCTCCATTCTCAGAGAATCAACAGGCTGCAGATAATGGACTCTCATGACTCTGGGAGATGGGTTTCACTTCCTATACATGGAACTATGGGTCCACTGGGAATCCAAAACACTGACTGCATACCCTTTCCTAGCCCCACACTAGGGATCCTCTACATGCGGTGGCTGATCTTCAGAAGATGCATGTAGAACAGGAATATCCAAAATCACTCACGGTCATCAGCCCTTCCCAATCTTCCACCCTAGCGGGGCCCCAAACACAAATAGGAGAGGGCTAGAATTGGTCAGTTTTTGTGTAGTTCTGTGAATGGTTCCAAGGTCAAGGGAAAGAAATGCTTGAAAGCCATAGCGTGCTCAACAGAAGCGTAGAAAGCAGCCCTCCCAGGAGTGTGAGCCAAAGCAGATTTTATACAGTTAGTGAGTCAGTGTGCCGTGACCAGATTCAGATGTGTGCTGTACTCTGCCTTGTTTACAAGTGACACTTTGAGACACAGGTCAAGCTGAGTAGCCAGCCCTTCCATATGTGGAGAACTCATATACACAAACAAATGCCTAGCTAGAGGCCACAGATCATTTGAACATCTTTTTAAAAAGTAGATAAGTTACCTTCAGGCCCAAATCGAGAACATTTAATTTAGGCTTTAAAAATTATGAATTATTCCAGACTCTATGCAGCTGAATTTCCCTTTCAGTGACTAGACAAATAGTATGTGATACTCTTCAACAAGCACGTTATGTCTGTGTTTGAAATGTGATGTGGACATATGTTTTGTTACAGATGTGGGCAATAGGGATTACTGTTCTGGTTATCTTCATCATCATCATCATCGGTGAGTTACCCTTTTCTAAACTCATTGGAAAAGTCTTCTCCATGTATTCACAGACTGTTGATTTTGTGTACAAGAACTCATACTAAAACTCCCTCTGAAACGTTAGTTTTGGCTAGGTGTGGGGAGTCAGGCCTGTCATCTCAAAGCTTTGGGAGGCCAAGACAGGAGGATCACTCGAGGCCAGGAGTTTGAGTCTAGCCTAGGCAACACAGCAGCTCTACAAACAATTGTTAATAATTAACCAGGTATGGTAGTGCACACCTGTAAGTCCCAGCTACTCAGGAGGCTGAGGCAGGAGGATTGCTTGAGCCCAGAAATTCGAAGCTGCAGTGAGCCATGATCATGCCACTGCACTCTAGCCTAACAGAGTGAGTTTCTCAAAACAAAACAAAAAAAGGTTCATTTATTCCAAGGTTTCCAGTTTTCTTTAACAAATGTTTTAAGTACTTGAGTTTTATATAAGTCTGAGATTTCTAATATAAACATTAATCCTTTGATGTTAGAGAAAATTTATTCATTTCCAACTTCTTTTTTCTCTGAATATGTTTTTAGCATCTATTTCCTTTTATGTAATGTAGTGATTAAAAGCATGGACTACCTGTGATCCATCCTGGGTCCACCACCATCCAGCTGTATGGCCGTGGACAAGCAATTTAACATCTCCGGGTTTCAGTTTCTCCATTTGTAAAATGGGGATAATAGTAACCTGCCTTGTTTGTTTATTAGAGGACAGATTTGGTAAATACATAAAAAGTGTTTAGGTTGGTGCCTGGCATATAATAATAAAAATAATAGCTATATAAATAAAATATGTATGTATACACATAGAAAGACACACATACAACTATTATATTGAAATAACTTATTGCCGTTGGTAGCCCAATATATGAGAACTGTTTAGAGAAACATGACTTCTTTCATTGATAGGTAGATATTTGTAGGTCATGGAGTGTCCCTTATGTTGCGCTGAGGTGCAGTACCCAAGAAGTAAAGTTACAGGACGCTGAAGAACTGGTGAAGAGCATCTGAACTTGGGGGGCCACGCCACCTGTGAGCGGAGATGAACGAGAGCCCCAAATGCCCAGAAGCATCTGTATTTATTAGGTACAAGCAGGGGGCAGAGTTGTGAGTGAGGTCATCATCTATAGGCTTAGTAATAGGGCATACATAATCATGTGAGTCACAAGTGGACCCCACTATGTCACTTGGGCAGAGTGGTGGGCCATGCGCAGTAGGGGTCCATGCCGTATGCAGTAGTAGAGGGTCATATACAGAAAAGGGGTCCACCCCCATTAGGTCACCGAGGCAAGGAGATGGGCTGTGTACAACAGGTGTCATGCACAACACTTCTTATCTGGGGGCTGGAGACTTTAAAGGATTTCTAATGGAAGGATACTATACGCCAGTGCAGTGGGAGCTGACAGACTCGTGCTCTTAAGATTTATGGGAGGATGATTTGAGCTAGCACAGAAGCAAGAAAAGACTGACAGGGTGTACAGCTGCTGTGACTGGTCACACCAGAGGGATTCTTCTCCCTCGGTTATTTCCAGGATCTCAGACCTGAGGCCTATTTTCCACAGGAACTGGATGCAAAGTACTACAACTCCTTGCTCCAAGCCTGCTGTACAGTGTATGCTCTTTCAGGCAGGGACACCACCGCCTGGGTCTTTGGTTCTTGTCCTGGTCTGGCTGTTTTCCCATGTACTGCTTCTGTTCTGTGACTGCTCTAGGCATTCCTCCTACTACAAACTACTATATGGTTATATAGAAGGATTTTATAAATCAGCATTAAATGTGTCCATACAGCTCCAACTACAATATCTATATTATATAGAAAGATTATATAGAACTAAGTATGCTAGATAAAAGTATTAAGTATGATTATATAAGCTTCTAGTCTCCTTCCTCTGGCCCTCAATAGAATGGAGAGAAGCCAGTAGCAGGAAATCAGCGCAGTCTAATTTCTGATCACATTTCGACTGCAGCATTGGATGCTCACGTGGGATTCGCACTGAGAGACTAACCTGCTGTTTCCCCTGCTTTTTTTTGCATCTCTCCTGCCTCTTAGTGTGGGTTGTCTCTTCATGAAGAACCAGTGGAACTCAAACCTGCTGTTCAAGAAACCTCTTCAAGACTTTTGACTTAGAACCTGCTATATTATCAAGCTTACCTACTACTATCTCTAAAGTGATTATTTTGTGTTAATGTAAAGTTGAATTTCTAGGAAACGTGCCTTTGTTTTTTAATAATATGCACTCCAAATTAGAAGTAAGGCCGGCCCCATCCACATTTTGCACAGTGTCTTTACCGACTTACATATGGGCTGATGAAGAGGCCTTCCGAAGTTCCGGAGTGCTATCATCTAGATGTCATGTTGTCACTAATTAATTGCCATTGCTCCCAGTTACTTACCCTTGTCATTCAGCATTATTTTTAGAACCACATTTTAAACCTTTGGGTAATCGATATCCAACTTGTGCCTTCCAGAAAAAAACACTACTGCCTAACACAAATCTGTGATAAAAACAGTCTATGCCTTATTTTGATAAGTTTCTGATTCCCTGTAAGAGAATCCTCTGCTTTTACTGACTCTCACTGTATTTAAGATAAGATGCTGGTGAAGAGCTTTTGCTCTTGCATTCGATTTGAAGATATTTACGTTCTTGTTATGTATCACTTGCTAAAAATACTGTTTTAATCAGAAATAACCTCTTTAAAAATTTTTATAGAACTATGGCTATGACCAAAGTTTCTATTTTACCAAAAAGTTAAATACCGATAAAATGGCCTTGTCTGTTCCTGACAGTTTAATTCAGAAATGTGCCAAATGGAACTCAAGGTGCCCCTTCAGAATTAAAATCGTAACCTTGTGTGTGAACCTTCCACATCTTGACAGGCTTTTCTTCCTTTTGAAATGCTGTAGACAGTGCAGCTTCCCTTCTGATTCAGTATTTTGCAGGGGGGTTAGAGAAGGTTTGAGGTAGACTCTGACCATCTCATTCCTATAGACCAGGGGTCCCCAAACTTTTTACACAGGGGGCCAGTTCACTGTCCCTCAGACCGTTGGAGGGCCGCCACATACTGTGCTCCTCTCACTGACCACCAATGAAAGAGGTGCCCCTTCCTGAAGTGCAGCGGGGGGGCCGGATAAATGGCCTCAGGGGGCCGCAGTTTGGGGACGTCTGCTATAGACAAAAGAGTTTCACCCAGCAGCTGGCAGATTATCAGCTGTGGACTCCAACATGTTTCTGATAATTAGGCGACCAACAATTCTGTAGCCTTCAAGTAAGACCACCTGTGAACTTGATCATTACCTGGCCCAGACAGGATGATAAACTGTAGCTTTTTGGAGTTTCCTATTTTTATTCACATTCTGCTTCCTAAATCAGTCTTCTAAATGATGCCTGCAATTAGGCATTGGTCAGGGGTGGATGGCTCTTTTCACAGAGAGGAGACAACCAGAGACCTTGCTTTGGTATCAACAACTGCAGAGGATGCTGCTGTGGAAGGAACTGTTGTCATTGTCATCGGAGAGACTTTTCTTATATGCATGGGACTTTCAACATCTGGATACACAGCTTAAAGATGGAATTCAGTTACAAAAGAAAACAGGCAAGGAGGCACTGAGGGAGAAGGACACAGACTTGATCACTCTGTAGCTCGTTACTGGAATATTCTGAAATCATTGTTCACATGCTGTTATGAGTTACAAAGCAGCAATAGCCGAGGTGCACCAGGACACAGGTTTCATTTCTTCACTGTCTGTTCCCTTAACATCACTGAGTGATTTGTTGAAGACAGCCCTGCAGTATGGCCAGCTGTGAGGACAAAGCAGCTGTTTGTGTTAGGACATAGCCCCCCGCCCCCCCAAGCACAGGGTATCTGGCCAAGTTTGACTCTGAAACCTTGGTGCTCACTCCTTGGCTACAGTGCTCAGTCCCACGTAACCCACTGGCTCCTGCATTAACCTGGAAATACCTCGCTTGTATCTGTGCACTTAGCTGGGAACTTACCCACTGTAATGACCTGAATAAAGTGTTTATAAACATGGTTGTGGTACCTGTGTTCCTGATAGAGGAATGGCTGCACCTGGTTCAGATTCTAAAAATGGCATTCCTTGCTGCTCCCCATACCTGTCCCTTACAAACCCTGAAACTCTCTCCTCCCTTCCCACCAGCCCTTCTGTAGGTACTCTACCCTCTAGTACCCAGCATTTCCCCATGCCTGAGTGGACAGAAGCAAACCACTCCCCTCGTGAAAAGTGCTTTCTAGTATAGGAGATGCAGGGGAAACTGGCTTTTTTTTTTTTTTTTTTTTTTTTTTGAGACGGAGTTTCGCTCTTGTTACCCAGGCTGGAGTGCAATGGCGCGATCTCGGCTCACCGCAACCTCCGCCTCCTGGGCTCAGGCAATTCTCCTGCCTCAGCCTCCTAAGTAGCTGGGATTACAGGCACGCGCCACCACGCCCAGCTAGTTTTTTGTATTTTTAGTAGAGACGGGGTTTCACCATGTTGACCAGGATGGTCTCGATCTCTCGACCTCGTGATCCACCCGTCTCGGCCTCCCAAAGTGCTGGGATTACAGGCTTCCGCCACCGCGCCCGGCGAAACTGGCTTTTATACAAATACCAAAATACAGGAGTTGGCTTTGGAGAGCTGGCCCTGGGTGTGGTAGACTGGATGGCTGCTGCCACGGCCATGGGAGAGAAGTCCGCACGGGCGAGGGACATCCCCGGACACATGTTTTCATTCTCTAGATTCTTCTTTCCCCATGAATATATTTCCATTCTTATTCTACAACCCCCAGGAAACAATAGCGTATGGGTGGAAGCAGACTTGTGCTTATGTTTGCAATAGAAAAGTCCAAGTCCCTTTCCCTAATTACAAGTCCCACTATGATCTGGCCCTTTAGCTTTCTGACCTCATCCCATAGGACTCTCCTGCTCGCTCTCCTCCAAGTAAGGTTCTCTTCTTTGGGTGGGAGACCCTGCAAGTGTTGAGGCAAGGGTTTGAAGCCTCAGCCTGTTCCCATATAAATAATGAAATAGAAAAGAATTAGAAATAAAATCACACCGTCATTCATAAGCAATCATAGATATAGATACCCAGATATATATACCAAGTATGACCTTTTAATTTTGCTAATGTTTCTCGGGTTGGGTTGCAAAGTGTGAACCTAAGGTGACATTGTGAAAGAAGTCACCCTAAAGCAAGATACTCTGTCACGTCCATCTAAGGGCTGCCGGAGGGCGCCTTGGCTATGCCGCAGCGCCAGCGCTGGGAAAGCGCCCGCTGATTGGCAAGCTACAGGCTACAGAAGGAGATGTCTGAGATGTCTCCTTCCTTGGAGGAGTTAGGAAAAAACTTCGCTCCCACAGGCGCCCGTGGCAGGCCTGACAGCTGTCAGGGAGACATGCCAACATCCAGGGGCTTAATTATTTTCTCTGTGTGATGCTGTGCTTCGGCAGTCATGTTCCATGTCTACTTTCAGGTTCCGCTTCTCCACCTGGTTCCTTTTTTAGGAGATAGAATCAATAAAAGTAACATAAATCTTAATGTCTGTGTTCCTTCTTGACAAGTATGGAAAAAGTGCTGACGCATTTTTCCCTTGCCCTTGCTTCTTCCCTTGCCGGGGCTACTTGAAAGTCTTGGGCTCCTGTTTCTAAGGTGCGTGATTTATTTGACCCTATCACTGACCACCAATGACTTGCCCTACCTACCCTGCCCCCTGCTTTATACTCAATAAAAGTCAGCGGGTCCAGGCACTCGAGGCCACTGCTGGACTCTGGGCTTTGGTTAGCAGTGGACCCCTGAGCCCAAACTCTCTTTCTCTTGATCTCGGTGTCTTGTGTCTATTTCCAGTAGCGAGGGGCTCTACTGTAGGGCTGGACGCTACACTCTGCCAAAGTATAGCTGTTGACAGTGGAGAGGTGTGTGCATGGGACTAATGTCAGGGTGTGGCTTGCAGGCCAGAGTTAAGCTATGAATGAAAACAGGCAAGGAAGCACTGAAGGAGAAACAGACCTGAATAAAGTTTGTTTCAGTTTCTCAACCGGAAACTTACTTCTTTCCAAAGGTCCTTTGCAGGTACTTTCCACTCTGCAGGGCCCACTTCCCCACCCATCGTGGCAGGTGCTGCTCATCTCAGGTTTAACTCCGCCTTCCCAGAGGCCTGCCCGGCTGATCTAAGGAGGCTCTGGCCTCCTTCCTTCTCCACCTCTGTCCCAGTTGCTCTTCATCTCAGTAGCTTGTTTTCTACACATCGCTTTAGGCTTTATGAACTTATTTATGGGGTTGCTTGTATGTGTTTCTCAATAAAATGTTGACTCCCTGGGTGGCACGGACCTTGGTCCACTCTTCTAGCCCCTGGAATTCCAAGTGTCACACCCAGATCTGCACGCAATAAATACTTGCTGAAGGAATGCAGTTTGACAAAACTCAGCCTCCGAGGACGGCAAGCCAACCTAGACTATCGCTTGTAAGAATAAGGTGGTTTATTCAGTACCTAACATAAACACTCACCCACTTCACTTTTACCCTCTTCCTTTACATACAATTTCATTCATCCAACAAATGCTGAGTATTTTTTCTGTACCAGGCAGCAGAGAGGGGGGCAGCACTAAGCACTATACCTTTCATTTCTAAGGTATTGAGAGAGACAATCCAAACTGAGCTTTCTGACTTTTTTTTTTTAAGGGCACTACACCTTCCTCCTCTGAAACAGTGGCTTTTACATTTGTCTTCCTACAGTTGCCAAATGAATCTGTAATTTTAGGAAGTCCAGGGAAGTGTTTTAAGTTTCACCATCAAAAATCTGTTTCTGGGCGGGTGCGTGGCTCACACCACTAATCTCAACACTTCGGGAGACCGAGGCCAGCAGATCACTGGAGTTCTGGAGTTTGAGACCAGCCTGGCCAACATAAACCATCTTTACCAAAAACATAACAATTAGCCAGATATGGTGGCTGCGCCTGCAGTTCAGCTACTCGGGAGGCTGAAGCAGGAGAATGCCTGGAGCCCAGAAGACAGGTTGCAGTGAGCGCATATGGCGCCACTGCACTCCACCCTGAGCGACAGAGCAAGACCCTGTCTCAAAAAAAAAAAAAGTTTCTAAATATTGGGTGGGCTTTTTGCCAGGGCTGCTATACGGCCCGGTTCCTCCAAGTCCACCCCACTCACCTAAAGAGTTAGCAGAGAATGAGGGCGGTTGGGGTGGGTTCGGTAGGTCAGAGGCGGTGAAAACCGTGGAAAGCCAAGAAGACACCCAAAGCACGTTGAGAGGTACGCGGCCCGCAGCCGGCCCCACGCTGGGCTCCTCCCCACACGCGCTCGGGTAGCCGGGAGCCACTTGCGGACTCCAGGACCCGACCCCAGGTAGCTGGCCCGGGCCGCCCCTGCCCGCCCCAGCACGCCCCCAGTCCCCGCCTCTCTCTCGCCCCCTTCTGGCCCCGCCCTCGACACCCCGCCCCCGCCTCTCGCCCTCATCCCTCTCCTCTTCCAGCTCCCCGCCCCTGCCTCTCGCCCCCCACGCCTCTCGGCCCCCTACTCCTATCACCCTCCGTCCCCCTTCTGCCCCCGTCTCCCGCCCCATCCATCCCCCAACTCCAGCCTCCCCAAGACCCCGACTCAAGCCCACCGCCCCCGCCTCACTCCCCGCCCCCTCGCGCCCCCGCCTCTCACCCCCCGCCCCCTCGCGCCCCCGCCTCTCACTCCCCGCCCCCTCGCGCCCCCGCCTCTCACTCCCCGCCCCCTCGCGCCCCCGCCTCTCGCTTCCCTCCCTTCCCTGCCCGCCTCTCACGTGGAAGTTGGGCCGGGCCCGCCCCGCCCCTCAAATTCCCCGCCCCTTCCAGGTCCCGCCCCCGCGTGGCTGGCAGCTCCCTGATCCTATCATTTCTGCTCTGGCTTCAGCGACTCCACCCCGGCGGCGTGGCATGGGGGCCGGACGCTCCAGTCGCGCGGCCCGGGCCTGAGGCCGCTCAGAGCCACCCCGCCCCCTGCCCGCGTACCGCCTGCCGGATTGGTCAATCGCCGGCCTCCGCCCGACCCCGAGCATTATGTAACGCGCCCCAGAGGACCCCGCCCCCTCGCCCTGGCTTATATAACCCGGGCGCACCGGGTCGCGCCCCGCCCCAGGGCCAATGGGAGCCCGCGGAACCGGCCCCGACGGCCAATCGCGCGGCTCGGGGGCGGGGCCGGTCACGCGGCGGCGGGGGGGCGCGGCGCCGGCTGCTTTCCTGCACGCGGCTGGCCTCGAGACTGCACGAGCGGGCGGCCAGGGGGGCGAGCGGCTTGCGCGCGGGGCCGCGGGCAGACGAGGCCGGTGAGTGCGCGGTCGGGCGGGAGTTCTCGGGACCCGAGCGCGGCCGAGGAGCCCCGAGAGCCCTGCCCTCGGCTCCGGGGTTCCCGGAGCGCTGCGCTTCCGAGCCGCCCGCCGTTCGGCTCGCGGGAAAGTTGGGGCAGGGGTGAGGACCGCGCGGTCCGGGCGCCGCAGCCTCAGTTCCACTTGGCCCTTGTCACCCTTGTCTCCTCCCCCCAGGCCGGACTTCCGAAAGTGGAGCGAGCTCCGAGTTTTGGAGATGCTGGAGGGAAAAGCTCCTCCGAGATGAGTGTGGCCCCCTGGCTCGTGGTAGCCGCCAGGTTTCTCTAACGCCATGGCGCGGACTGGAGTGAGAAACCGCTGTCTGTCGCTGGCTGCAAAGTGAGGGAGAAGCAGGCTGCGGGCCGTCCCAGCACGACATGGAGCCCTGCGGAGACCTCGAGACGCCCCTCGGGGAACCTTCTGGCCCCGGGGGACGGGCAGTTGAGGACGAGGCCCTGGGCGAAGACACTGGGGAGCGGTGGAGCCCCGAGTGCCATCTGCAGAGAAAATTGGCGGACCCCAGCCACAGGTGACGCGCTGGCTTCAGGCCCAGGGCCCCATACGTTAGTTGTCCTTTCCCAGAGCAGGGAAAGGGGGACGTAAATCTTTTTATTGTTTTAAGCCCAGGGGAGAGTGTAGGGGGAGACTCAGGCAACGTAGGATGAAGTGAGCTGAGACACTGAAGAAAATTACCAAAGAGCACCAGGGGGGAAACGTGGTTACAGAAGTTAGCTCAGTTGGGGCTCAAGTGGATTAAGGGAAAGTAAGTGGAGACTGTGTAGCATTTACCAGTTGCTTTGCCGGAGTTCCCTGCCTGGAGGAAAAGGGGCATCACCCTGTGGACTGAATGAACTGGTGCGGGTAGAGCACTTAGAAACTTACCTGGGTTGCAGTTTCTGTTCCATAAACTGCAAGATGCTGTTATCATCTTCACGGGTGTGAAATCGTCCGTTTTTGTTGTTGTTTTTTTTTTAATCTTCCAGTGAACAGCAAGATCGAAACAGAGTTTCGGAAGAACTTATCATGGTTGTCCAAGAAATGAAAAAATGCTTCCCCTCGGAGAGACGCAATAAACCAAGCACTCTAGATGCCCTCAACTATGCCCTCCGCTGTGTCCACAGCGTGCAAGGTAAACAAGCGAGAGAAATTGAGTCCTACAAGTGCACCAGGACTCTCACAGCAGCCAGAGGAATGGTCAGTGGGGTCTTAGTCACGCAGATACTTTGAACTTTTTCTGGTGCTTTATGGAAGATGAGCAAATCTAAACCGATTGTATTCATGTCTTAATTTTTCACATCTGAAAGACCAGGAAAACTTTATCTGTATAATAGTTTATAGTAACTTTGCAGCGTTTTGCCCATCTGTTGCAAGAGTAGAGTTTTAGCCTAAGCACATTCTGAAGGCTAACCTTTTAAAGGAACATTGTCTTCTATGGAAGTTATGGGGAAAAAATGCATTCCACTGAATAGTTACCTTTACATACCGTACACGTATTTTTAAAATGCAGTAATGATATATGAGGAATTTACCAAACTAAAAATGAACCATTTTAAAGACTTTTCTTTTTCTGCCTGACATTTCAAGGATTCCATTAAAGCCATATTCTCTTTAGCACAGACCTCTGTGCTTCACTTACGATATGTTCCTCAATGATGGAGTACTGTTTCTGCTCCCCCCCAAAAAATTGTGTATGCATCTGAAATTTTTAGTTAGTACCTTGAATGTATCTTGCTCCTTGTGATCCAGAACATGCAGAATTCATAAAATCAAAAAGTTTGCACAACCATCAGTATGTATTTTAAGTAAAAGCAGAAAATGATCTGTTTTCAAGAAAAATGCACCAAGGTGTTCTCATCCGAAAAAAATAATCCAGCTTGATAGAGATAAAATGGTTTCCTAAAGATACTGTTGTCACTGGACTACCTGTTTATCTCCCTGTGTTTCTTAGCAAACAGTGAGTTTTTCCAGATTCTCAGTCAAAATGGAGCACCTCAGGCAGATGTGACCATGTACAGTCTTGAGGAGCTGGCCACTATTGCTTCAGAACACACTTCCAAAAACACAGTAAGAATTCATGCATTTTGCCATATCAACCTGGGTGATTTTTCCTAAGGACCTGCTCTAGATGTCAGTTTTTAAGGAGAATAACAACGTTTCAGCAACCACAATTTGAGGGAAGCAAAGGAGGAACTGCTGAAGAGGCCTGGTGTAGCTTCTCCAGCCTTGCCAGAGAAAACATCTAAAAACAGAAGCAGCCCATGAAGTGTGCTGTGCAGTTCAGTGACTTTGGTTATAAGGTGCTTCTACCTCCTTAGCATTCCCAAGCTCTCTCGAATTAAGAGAAAACAAAAAAATACACTGCAGAGTAATTTCCTGCATCTTATTCTAATCTCCGAATTGTTAATTTCTATTTATATCATTCTTAGTTCCAATACCTACTACTTCAAGTTGTAACAACTGGATGTTATAGAACAGGTGAGTTGAGATGCTGTCATTTTTCATAAAATTTTGGAAGAGACTTTTAGGGTATATGTATATATATATATATATATATATATATATATATATACACACACACACATATATATATATATATATATATTTTTTTAATCTCTCTTCTTGTTTGACAGAGTAATTGAGCCTCAGGTTTGGTTGATACGGTGGAGATTACTTATTTTTATGTACAGACGTCAACATAATTGTAACTTAAAAGATTTTGTAGCAGTGGAACATGAGCCATCCCTACTATTACAATAGTGCTTATTTTAAGGACTGGTGTGTGCATAGTACTGTAGTAGGTACTATGGAGAGTTTAATAAACAGCTTAAGAAAATATTTGTCTTTTAAGATCTTTAAAATAAAGCCAGAGAAGAAAGCATGCCAGTGCTAGCAAACACAAACAATGGCTGATTATAAGTAAGTTTCATTTATGTCTAATGGAAGAAATTAGAGCAGTGATGCTTACGTAATGAGGTTTGTCAAGGACAGCTTCCTGAAGAAGGTGAATCTTCAGCATGTCTTAAAGCATAGAATCTGTACTGATGACAAGAACACGGTCCACCCAGGTGTAAGACACAGTTTGCAAAGGAGAAGGAATCAAGTTTATGTGCCATACGTATGTTTAGTCCGCATAGAATGAGTTAGTATATTTTTTGGCATAGAAATCGAACCTTCAGTAGGTGAAGTGTAGGTTTTATGAGAATATTTAAGAAAGATGTTGGAGAAAAGTATTTGAGGAGTTTCGTTGCCTTCATAGGTTGTACCTGTGTAGTTTAAGATATTGATCATGGTAGAGATCTAGAAGAAATTTACCTTTCAGGGACTATTGCTAATGAGTATCTCAATATTTGCATTTCTTTTAAATGTTTTTTATAGGATACCTTTGTGGCAGTATTTTCATTTCTGTCTGGAAGGTTAGTGCACATTTCTGAACAGGCTGCTTTGATCCTGAATCATAAGAAAGATGTCCTGGCTTCTTCTCACTTTGTTGACCTGCTTGCCCCTCAAGACGTGAGGGTGTTCTATGCACACACTGCAAGAGCTCAGCTTCCCTTCTGGAACAACTGGACCCAAAGAGGTAACAGGACCAATGTTCAGATGTTTATCTTGCCTCATCAAGATCAGTTTTGTTCTTAACAGGAATAGTACAGCAACTAACGCATTATTTTTTTTTTGACACTTAACACAGGGCTTTAATGTAACACCATTTAGTAACATGACAAATCGAAAAAAGTGAGGTGCAAACTGTTTTTTCTTATTCTTGTTATAGAAAGTCTTCATGTGATGAAAACAGCATTTTAAAAGCTTCTGATAACATAAAGACAATACATCTGTTTCCATTTTGTCACGTCTGTTTCATAGATTATATGTCATAACTATTTCACTACCAGCATGCCATATAGTGCTTTAGTTGCTACGAAGGCTCTGTTTTCTTTAAGTTAAAATTAAATGTTTTTCCTTCTGTATTTCTTTATGATTTCCTTGTATGAGAGATTGTACTTTGGAGATACAATTTGGATCATTAGGCTGGGCGTGGTGGCTCATGCCTGTAATCCTAGCACTTTGGGAGGCTGAGGCAGGAGGATCACATGAGGTCAGGAATTCCAGATCAGCCTGGCCAACATGGTGAAACCCATCTCTAATAAAGAGTACAAAAATTCTGGGCATGGTAGCACATGCCCGTAATCCCAGCTACTTGGGAAGCCGAGGCACAAGAATTGCTTGAACCTGGGAGGGGGATGTTGCATTGAGCCAAGATCACACCATTGTACTCCAGCCTGGGCAATAAAAGTAAACTGTTAAAAAAAAAAAAAATAGGACCAGTAGCTCTCTTCCAGTTTTTCTTGCCCCTAAAAGTTCATGAGTTTCATTACTTTGTCTTCCTTCTGGGATGCTTTTTTTTCCCCAAATCAGAGATGCCTATTGCAGTTTTCTTTGTGTGACATTCAGTCCTGTGTGATCTTAATTTATTTCTTTTTAGTCACGCTTTATTATTTTATATTCTTTGTAAAGTGTCTCCTAAAGATAGATAGATAGATAGATAGATAGATAGATAGATAGATAGATCGATCTGCCTTCTCTTTAATTCCAAGCCCTTCTTTCTAACTAAAAAAAAATTTGTTGTGGTAAAAAACACATAAAATTTACCATGTAATAGGGTTCGACTATGTCCCCACCCAAATCTCATGTTGAATTGTAACTCCCATAATTCCCATGTGTCATGGGAGGAACCCCGTGGGAGGTAATTGAATCGTGGGAGCAAGTCTTTCCCATGCTGTTTTCGTGACAGTGGATAAGTCTCACAAGATCTGATGACTCTAAGAATGAGAGTTTCCCTGCACAAGCTCTCTCTTTGCCTGCTGCCATCCATGTAAGACATGACTAGCCCCTCCTTGCCTTCTACCATGATTGTGAGGCCTCCCCAGCCAGATGGAACTGTAAGTGCATTAAACCTCTTTCTTTTATAAATTGCCTAGTCTGGGGTATATCTTTATCAGCAGCATGAAAACGGACCTAATACACCATCTTAATCATTTTTAGGCTTAACTCCATTGCTGTAAAGGATGGTTACAATGTTGTGAAACAGATTTCCAAAACTTTTTCATCTTGATGTGTGAAACTCTCTATATATACTATTTCTAATTTTTTACCCAGTACTTAATGTAATGAAGAATAGCTTTGCATGCTGCTTCTTCCAATTATAATTGCCCCATCTTTTAAAAATATTTTTATGTGAGCTTTAGAAAATATGCATGTCATCCCTGCTTGCTTCTAGCTCCTCATCTCTCCTGTTCCCATCTTTCAAAAATATTGGTTTTATTTCTCTTCCCCCTTCCTAAATACACATGCTGGGATACAACTGTGAACAGGACATCCACAATATTGGCTGCTAGGTGTTTCACGCTTTTTCCCCAGGTATTTTTCCATTAGCACTGACTGTGTCTTTTCAGCCTTTTCATTTTTGCTTATTACTTATTGCTGGGATATTTCCCTTCTGTATTAGTCTGTTCTCACACTGCTATAAAGAACTACCTGAGACTGGGTAATTCATAAAGGAAAGAAGTTTAATTGATTCACAGTTCCACATGGCTGGGAAGGCCTCAGGAGATTTACAATCATGACAGAAGGGAAAGCAAACACGTTCTACCACACATGATGCCAGGAAGGAGAAGAATGGGAGCCAAGTGAACAGGGAAGCCCCTTATAAAACCATCAGATCTCATGAGAACTTACTATCATGAAAATAGTGTGGAGGAAGCTGCCTTCATGATTCAGTTACCTCCCACCGGGTTCCTCCTACCATACATGGGGATTATGGGAGCTACAATTGAAGATGAGATTTGGGTGGGGACACAGGCAAACCGTATCATTCTGCTCCTGGCCCCTCCCAAATCTCACGTCCTCACATTTCAAAACAGGACCATTCCTTTCCAGCAGTCCCCCATAGTCTTAGCTCATTCCAGCATTAGGCCAGAAGTCCAAATCCAAAGTCTCATCTGTGACCAGGCAAGTCCCTTTCACCTATAAACCTGTAAAATCCAAAGCAAATTAGTTACTTCCTAGTTACAGTGGAGGTATAGGCATTAATAAAACCCATTCCAAATGGGAGAAATTGGCCAAAACAAAGAGGCTAACGGCCCACTGAGGCAATAATTAAATCTTAAGGTTCCAGAATAATCTCCTTTGATTCCATGTCTCACATCCAGGTAATGCTGGTACAAGAAGTGGACTCCGACAGCCTTGGCAGTTCTGCCTGTGGCTTTGCAGGGTACAACCCCCACCCCCCCACCATGGCTGGTTTCATGGGCTGGCATTGTCTGGCTTTTCCAAGCGCACAGTGCAAGCTGTCAGTGGATCTACCATTCTTGGGTGTGGAGAACAATGGTCCTCTTCTCACAGCTCCACTAGGCACTACCCCAGTGGAGACTGTGTGGGGGCTCCAACCCCAGATTTCTATTACACATGTGCCCAAGCAGTGGCACTCTATGAGGGCTCTGCCCCTGTAGCAAACTTCTGCCTGGACATCCAGGAATTTCCTTCTATCCTCTGAAATCTAGGCAGAGGTTTCCAAACCTCAGTTCTGGTCTTTTGCATACCTGCAGGACCAGCACCATGTGGAAGCTGCCAAGGAATAGGGCTTGCATCCTCTGAAGCTATGGCCTGAGCTGAACCTTGGCCCATTTTAGCTATGGTTGGGGCTGAAGCAGCCGGAATGCAGGGGACCAGGCCCAGAAAACCCTTTTCCCTCCTAAGTCTCAGCCTGTGATGGAGGGGCTACTGTGAAGTCTCTGGCATGCCCTGGAGACATTTTCTCCATTGTCTTGGTGATTAACATTTGGCTTCTTGTTACTTAGGTAAATTTCTCCAGCAGGCATGAATTTCTCCCCAGAAAATGGGTTTTTCTTGTCTGTCTCATCTTCAGGCTACAATTTTTCCAAATTCTTATTCTTTGCTTCCTCTTGAATGCTTTGCTGTTTAGAAATTTCTTCTGCCAGATACCCTAAATTATCTCTCTCAAGTTCAAAGTTCCACAGATCTCTAGGGCAGGGGCAGAATGCTACCAGTCTCTTTGCATAGCAAAAGTTAACTCTACTCCCGTCCCAACAAATTCCTTATCTCCATCTCAGACCACCACAGCCTGGATGTCATTGTCCATATCTCTATCAGCATTTTGGTCAAACCCATTCAATAAGTCTCTAGGAAGTTCAAGGTTTTCCCACGTTTTCCTATTTACTTCCGAGCCCTCCAAACTGTTCCAGCCTCTGCCTGTTACCCATTTCCAAAGTCACTTCTACATTTTTGGGTATCCTTATAGCAGCACCCCACTCTTTGCAGTGCAAATTTATTGTATTAGTCCATTCTCATTCTGCTAATAAAGACATGCCCAAGACTGGGTAGTTTATCAAGGAAAGAGGTTTAATTAACTCACAGTTAAGCATGGCTTGGGAGGCCTCAGGATACTTACAATTGTAGCGAAATGGGAAGCAAACATGCTCTTCATATGGTGGCAGCAGCAGAAGTGCCAAGCAAAAGTGGGAAGAGCCCCTTATAAAACCATCAGACCTCATGAGAACTCACTAGCACCAGAACAGGAGGAGGGCAACCACCCCCATGATTCAGTTACCTCCCACTAGGTCCCTCCCTTGACACGTGGGGATTACGGGAACTACAATTCAAGATGAGATTTGGGTAGGGATACAGCCTCACCATATCACCGTTTTTGTAAAATCTTAGTATGCCCTGAAATTAATTCTTTTGGATCTCAAAATTCACTTAATAAAAGCATGATGTGAATCTAGTTTACTTTTTATATTGTACTTTTGCCTTGTAAATCTCAAAAATTGAAACCCTTCTTGAGAGCAGTTGGTTAACTCTGCCCCCTTTAGGCTGTGCCTGTGTTACCTCCTCCAATCCCTTACTTTGAGCACATAGAACATTAAAAGGACTTACGAAGCTACCCACTCAGCTCTTGTCAGCCTCTGGTTCTGTATTAGAATATGTTTTTATTTAACATGTCTTGTACAAACCTTTTAGAAGGGTTTGACCATTACTACTTCAGGGCATGCTTTCAGAAACAAGCATCACGTACTTACAGCCTAGGAATGAAGATGCATCATGGGCTCGTGTCTGTTGTCTTAGCTCACGTAGTCTGGCTTTCAGTGGTCCAGGACTTCTAGTGACTGCACTTGGAGTTCAGGTGCCTGGTTTGATGAATAAACGGTGTAAGCAAACTAACCTCACAGTAAAGGCTATTTTCTGTAGAAGATTATACCAATCTTCAGTGCTTTATTAATGCTTTCTGACTCTTCCTGTGATCATCTCCTTAGAAGTATCAAGACCTGGGCTTCTTATTCAGTATTTTGGTTCTTTTGGATTCTCACTGTTTATGCAAGCTTCAGTGTATATTTTTTAAACATCTCACAGTTTTCCATGGTTCCTATAACTAGAGACTATTTGTTTCAGTGAACAAATTTCCAAAAGATATTCAGGAAACTCGGGAAATACATATACTTAACAAATACTGGGCAGAAATTGCAGCCCCCTCATCTGCCACTAAGATAGGCAAATTTAGACATTTCTGAATTACTACCTCATACATCAATAAAATTGATGCAAAAATTCACAGAATTGATAGCAAGTCATTGGCATGAGGGTTGTGAGAAAACGTTAATAAAACTGAGAATTAGTACAGTTTTCTGGAGGTTAATTTATCAGTACACAATGAAAGTCATAAATTGATTCTATCATTTAACCTAGGAACACAACTTTTTGAAATTTATCCAAGGAAAGAACTTAAAGAAGAAAAGAAAATTATATGTCATATAGCTAAAAAACGGAAAACAGTCCAAATCCCCAGTTTTTTAGAAATGTCCAGACCATTACAATGGAATGGAGTATTACCACCAGAATTATTGTATCTAAGTATAATGACATTGACCTTTGAGATAATGAACATGTGCATTTTGGGAACGATGGGAATTAATGAGGGAACGATATAAATCTGATTCTCACTGTTACACCTGAGGCTCACAGTTTTCAGGATTGGGAAACACTAGTATGTCTTTGGTATTAAAGACAAATTGGGAAATACTAGTATTGTTTTTGGTATTAAAGAGAGGGAGATCCCCTTGATTAAAATAGAACTGTCTTCCTGCATTTTGAGATCCAGTCATATTCTAGTATTTCTCAATGGTACTTTAATCAATGAGACCTCTCTCTCTTTTTAAAAAATTATCTTTTGTTTGGTAATGGTGAAACATTTGTTTCACTGAGAAAGACCTGCCCAAGAGGGAGTGATTGACCAGGCATCTTTTTTTCTGGCTATCTGTCTTTCTAGCAGCTCCACGGTATGAATGTGCTCCGGTGAAACCCTTTTTCTGCAGGATCCGGTAAGTACAGTGACTCATAGAAGCCAAAAATAGTGGATTATGCTCTGATTGTATTTTGCACTTATTTTGATTCTTGTATATTCAGCTCACTTCTGTTGCGAGATACAAAAAATAAGACTTGATTCTTACCACAGGAGTTTGTATTTTGATTGAGAAGAAACATATTCATGAGAAAACTAGATAATAATGCAATATGAAAAAGGTCCAGAAAAATAATTCTTAACTCTAGGAGCATATAAGAGTCACTAGATATAAAGTACAGCTTAAAATCACAAATTGTTTTGGGCTTTTTTGTTTGAGTTTTGTTTTTCAGTCACATTTAAAATTAATTTTTGAAATTTTTAGTAGCTTTAAAGAAAACAAGAGATTTATATTTTGTGAGAAAGATTTAAAAGATCTAGAGACAGGGAACCAGAAGGAAATAGATGAAAATGTTAACAGTAGTTAATTGCTGATAGGATTTACTCCTGAATTTTTAATCTTCTAAATTTGCTGCAATAAATTATTAGTGTTTCTTATGTTATATACATTATAGTATATATTATATATATATATTCTGTTATGTATATCATGTATGTAACATGACTTTCGTAATAAGAATATTTTAAGATGATGTCATGATTGCCAGTTTTAATATTGAAGTTACTAAATGCTCTAGATGTTTAGAGAGGAGAAAAAACCCCATGAAATAGTCTGATATTCCAATACTCCATGGAATTTAGGGACTTGAGCTCGTAGGATATGGATGCTTGGGAGGGACAGCCTGAGGAAGGGTGCGGCAGTGGGAGCGGCTGTGTTCATTTGCAACTAAGTTGTTTGAAGAACAGCTCCTGCCTCCTAGTAAGTACTATATGTGTTTCTGATGTTAATAAATATTTTGGGGTGCTTTCTTTGAGCCAGACACTCTGCTGGGATTCAAGCAGAGTTCTTGCCTTGTATACCTTAAATTCCGTGAGGAGGAGACCAATAGTAAACACACGTTCAGATGCCTGTGTGTTGGCCGGTGATAAGTTATGTGTAGACAGTAAAGCAAAGAGCAGGAGTTCTGCAAAGTGGGAGCTTGCTGTTGTATTCAGGGTTATCCAGGAGCTCAGGACGCCTAATTGGAAACAGCAGCCGGAAGGAGGGCAGGCGGTGAGCCACACCGGTATCTGAGGGTGGCAAGTGTCTGAGCAAGTGTGTTCCAGGCATAGGGAGCAGCAGGTGCAGAGGCCCTGGGGTGGGGCATGCCTGGCCTGTGGGAGGAATGACAGAGCTGCTGTGGCTGGAGTGGAGGCAGGAGCAAGGATGGAAGAAGATGGGGAAGCAGGGGCCACGCCACGGGGAGCTGGGACTTCTGCCTGAAATGTTTTATTTAAGTTTATCACTTATTTTTAAAACTTTTTACTTTGGGAATTTTCAAACATAACACAGAAGATAGTCTAATGAACCGAAATGGTCTCATCACCCAGCTTTGTAATAACTTGAACCCGTGGCCACTCTAGCATCATCTCTGCCAGCAGCAGTTCTTTAACTCCCTCTTCCCAAGTTACCGGTTACCGCAGCTCAGATCTCATCTGATTTCCTCCAACAGGATTTCAGAATGTCATGCTAAGAGAGAAAGTTCTCATTAATGTTTGTGAGGCTTAAAATGGTCCCGTCTTTGGCCAGTAGGAATCTCTTCGGGTTGGCCCTTGCACCTTTGTGAGAGGGCCCTGTGGTCTTTGACAGCTTCTATTGTTTTAAGCATCAGACACCCCAGACTCGTTTTAGACATTTCTTAACCCAGACTTGGAGTCAGTCACTTCTCAAGGATCCCTGGTTCCATGTGGGAAATGGCATTCATATTTGGAGGCCAAATCTATGTGGTAGGGATGGTTATTGCTACAGGGTTGTCATTACTTCTAGGAATTTTCAGTGAACAGAGGTAGGAAACATTCATTTCAGTTTCCCTTTTTTTTTTTTTTTTTTTTTTAAGACCTCAGAGAAGGAAGGTCAAATAATGTGTGAATATAAAACACTACATTAATATTTTGTTTTGGCCAGGCACAGTGGCCCACTCCTGTAATCCCAACACTTTGGGAGGCCAGGGTAGGCGGATCACCTGAGATCAGGAATTCGAGACCAGCCTGACTGACATGGTGAAACCCCGTCTCTACTAAAAATACAAAAATCAGCCGGGTGTGGTGGTGCACACCTTTAATCCCAGCTACTTGGGAGGCTGAGGCAGGAGAATCGGCTTGAACTCGGGAGGCAAAAATTACAGTGAGCCAAGATTGTGCTGTTGCACTCCAGCCTGGGCAACAGAGTGAGACTCTGGTTTTTTTGTTTGTTTGTTTTTAAAGAGTGAGGTGGGCTGGGCGCGGTGGCTCAAGCCTGTAATCCCAGCACTTTGGGAGGCCGAGGCGGGTGGATCACGAGGTCAAGAGATCGAGACCATCCTGGTCAACATGGTGAAACCCCGTCTCCACTAAAAATACAAAAAATTAGCTGGGCATGGTGGCACGTGCTTGTAATCTCAGCTACTCAGGAGGCTGAGGCAGGAGAATTGCCTGAACCCAGGAGGCAGAGGTTGCGGTGAGCCGAGATGGCGCCATTGCACTCCAGCCTGGGTAACGAGCGAAACTCCGCCTCAAAAAAAAAAAAAAAAAAAGAGTGAGGCGGAGTGGGAATGAACTGGGGAATCTCTGGCAGTAAAGACTCCCCTAGGATTGGTGGTCACGCCTTTATGTGCTGGCGAGAGAGTAGACGTGTGATTAGTGAAAGTGGGTGAGTGTGAATTCAGTCTTGGGCTTTCTGATTTTAGGTGAAGTGGCATCTCCCAGCAGAAGCATCTGCTGGGCAGCTGCAGTGATAACACAGGGTGACGATCTTTGAAGTCGTCAATCGGAGCCCCCTACCGAGAGGTTCTTGGTGAGGAGTGGAAAGGGCATGCCCTCTGGGCCAGGGCAGGGCTTGCTGAGCTCGGTTTTAGTCTCGGCTATTTCTTTCCTCCTCAGCCAGTTGCCTGTATGGACGGAGCGCCTGACCCCATGTGAGGGTCAGTGATGAGGGCATCACTGAAGCTGGAGACGAAATTGCTTTTTAGGGAGTATAGAAAGGGATCACAGAACTGGCTCCGGGACTTGATTGCAGAGGACCCCGTTTTCTGTCTTGTGACAGCTGATATAGATGTGTGAGATGAGACAGATGAGACGGCTATGCCTGTCTCTCTTCACAGCAGAAGGGGAAAAGCCAAACTGGGAATTCAGTGCATGGGGGTCAGGAGAAAAGTCATGGAAACACTAGTTCTGTTTTTACACTCACAGTAACCTAAGCCAGCTCTTTACACGACCTCTTCCTTGTTGAATAATATCAAAAATTTAAGCTAACATATTCTTTTGAAAACAAACATGTTTCAACATTTTAAATGTGGGTCTGTCTCTCTTGGAAATTACCAATAAAACATTTCTCCCAGCCTTGGTTCACAGTGGGCCTGGAGGGTGCATCAGGACCAGCACTAATATCTTTAATCTCCTCAGTGGAGGTGAAGACAGAGAGCAAGAGAAGCGTCCCTCCCCATTCCGGATCATCCCTTATCTGATTCATGTCCATCACCCTGCCCAGCCAGAATCGGAATCGGAGCCTTGCTGTCTCACTGTGGTTGAAAAGATTCACTCTGGTTACGAAGGTAAGTCAGTAGATAAGATGCAGAAATGTCAGCAGTCAGGAACACGGGAAAGTCTGTTTATGTCAGTCGTAGAACAAAAAAAGAGCGCTGGGGTCCCCAGTTTGACCCTTAAATTCTTCAGGGGTTTGAAGCTGTTTTTCACCGATGTCTGTTTACCGACCTTGGCTGCTTGTGCAGTCGTTGCCTTCGTGGTCTGCACGGCTGAACGAATGGTCGCAGCAGATCCAATCTTCTAGTCCTCTCTCTGTTGGTGACCCATTCAGTGTTGCCTTCTGTTGTCTTGTGTGAAAGAAGAGTGCTGAAATTGTTTCCCAGAGAGGCCACAAGAGTGATTTTATGTTTTCGAAGTGTGAAAACTCCCCGAGTAAAATGTATGTTATATCTTTTACAAGCAGAACTATATTTCTAGTGCATATATTAATACATAGGCAGCTTCCATGTATTACTTAAAGTCAGTTTGGATGTAATACGACATATTCTCTCCTACAAATCACCATCCTGTGCAACGGTCACCCAATAAAAACCACAGGGCTTATGGGAAGAAGGGGTTTAGGAGCACAAAACTCAAAAACTTAGTTGCACATTAAAAATAAGACAGGAATCAAATAAAAATGGTAACATGGTTTCACACGTGTTAAATGATTAGGAAATATACAAACACTACAGTAAATAGGGCTCATACCACAGGACGGACTGAGGTAGCAGGTAGATGTTTGAGGTGTGTATGTATGTTTTTGCGTATTCTTTTTTTTTTTTTAATTTTGTTTTGCTTTGTTTTGAGACGGGTTTGCTCTGTCACTCAGGCTAGAGCACAGTATGTGATCATGGCTCATTGCAGCCTCAGACTCCAAGGCTTAAGTGATCCTCTGGTCTCAGCCTCCAAGGTAGTTAGGACCACAGGCACTCACCATCATGCCCGACTAATTTTATTTACTTATTTATTTTTTGTAGAGACAGGGTCATACTATGTTGCCCAGGCTGGTCTCGAATTCCTGGGCTCTAGTGATCTTCCTGCCTTGGCCTCCTAAAGTGCTGGGATTATAGGTATGAGCCACCACACCTGTTTTTGTGTATTCGTAAGTAGTTCCTTTCAACTGGATGCTGTTTTCTGCATTCACTTAAGCTTTCTTGAAAATGAAATTGTGCATATGCAAATGAGATATTAGCATTTGCTCAAATTGTTCCCTAATATATCAGTCACTTCATTTTTTTATTTTTTTATTTTTATTTTTGAGTCTTGCTCTGTCACCCAGGCGGGAGTGTGGTGGCACAATTCACGGCAACCTCCACCTCCCAGGTTCAAGCGATTCTCATGCCTCGGCCTCCCAAGTACCTGGGATTACAGGTGTCTGCCCCAATGCCCAGCTAATTTTTGTATTTTTAGTAGGGACAGTGTTTTACCTTGTTGGGCAGGCTGGTCTCAAATTCCTGACCTCAAGTGATCAGCCTGCCTTGGCCTCCCAAAGTGCTGGGATTACAGGCATGAGCCACCAAGCCCGGCTGCACTTCCTTTTTAAAGCAAGCAGTAGAACAGAACTGACCATACCAATTTTTTTTGAGATGAAGTCTGGCTCTGTCTCCCAGGCTGGAGTGCACTGGCACGGTCTTGGCTTACTCCAGCCTCCGCCTCCCAGGTTCAAGTGATTCTCCTGCCTCAGCCTCCCAAGTAGCTGGGATTACAGATGTGCACCAACACTCTGGCTAATTTTGGTGTTTTTAATAGAGACGGGTTTCACCATGTTGGCCAGGCTGGTCTTGAACTCCTGACCTTGAATATTCATATGGTACTAAATAATATTTGTAATATTTTTGTTTGTTTAGTTATATGTAGCTACTAAATCTGATTAAACTTTTTAGTTATTCCAGTTTTAACTATTAAATTATTTATGATGAGCTAGGCATGGTGACAGGTGCCTGTAATCCCAGCTACTTGGGAGGCTGAGGCATGAGAATCACTTGAACCTGGGAGGCGGAGGTTGCAGTGAGCAGAGATCATGCCACTGCACTCCAGTCTGGGGGATAGAGTAAGATTCTGTCTCAAAAAAAAGAGAGATAACTATTTAATGTGCACATTCTTTCTCTCTCTGTTTAAAATTGACTTTAGTAGGCGTCACATTTTGCCCTAAATAAAATGTAGTTAGTAATAAAATTATCATTTAACTGCAGCTTTGGCTGCTTGAAGGCCAGGCCACTAAATGAGATTTGTACCATTTTGTTGCAGGATTTCAGAGAGACTGTTGAGGTTACAGAAGGAGTTCATTTTAGGTGTACACCGGCCCAGCTGGTTCCCTGACTGGGAACAAAATGGCTGAGCCCTTAACAAAGGCAGGGCGTGACTTTTTATACATGAAATACACAGTGGCACTAAAACAAGTTTGCAGGTGTAGAACCAAGGCAATTTATCAAGCAATGATAGGCACCTAACTTAGGCTTACATATGACTGTTGCTATGCGACCCAGATGTTCACTATCGGTCAAGCTCAAGGATTCTAGCACCGGCCCTATCTATTGCCTTCTGCTACAGTGCCCAGAAGGCCGGAGTCCTGCCTGCTTGGGCATTTCTTATGACCTTCGCTGAGCTATAGAAACTTACAGTTGTATCAGCTATAGAGAACAAGAATACAAGAATTTATAAACTTACACAACTTGCAAAGCAGAACACAATTACACGGGATGGGGAAGGACTCAGGGAAGTTTGCTTGTAAAAGAAAAATTTAATTTCTGCTTCTCTTTCCTGCACTGATTTTATTTTTATTAATTTTTCCTCTTCAATTTCATAAAGATTTTGTTCTTTTTTTAATATGTTAGGTAGTTAGGTGGATAATTAATTAGATATTTGCCTTTAAATTAGTCTCTTTTTTTTTTTTTATAGCTCCTCGAATCCCGGTGAATAAAAGAATCTTTACCACAACACACACCCCAGGGTGTGTTTTTCTTGAAGTAGATGAAAGGTAAGTACTTCTTTAAGCCTAAAAGAAATGTGTTTCTGGAAATACATACAAATGTGAAGAAGTTTACATTATGTTTGCATGTTTATACATTATATAACTGAAATCTATCCGTTTACCTGTTTGATTTTTGTTACATGGAAATGCGTGTTATCTAAATTTTTAATATAAATATCTTACATATTGTAAAGTGATGACAAGTTATATTTGATTTCACAACAGTATACTTTAGGTAGGCCAAGAATTATTTCATTTTACAGAGGAAGACAATGAACCCAGGGGCCAGTTTGCTGAGAACAAATGTGTAGTATCTGATTGTGCTCAAACTGGGACCGAGACTCTGCTCTTCTAGCACCTGTTCTGGTGTTATTTCCACTTGGCAAGTGCATCGCAAATCAGCTTAGGATGCAGTTTTGGTTAGTCTGAAGCAGGGGCAAAGGCTGGAAGAACAGATGATTTTTTTGTAAAGAATTGTTCTTTATTTTGAACTTATGTCCTTCCTACTTTTGGGGGATGTTGAAATTGTCTTTGTTATTTAAACGATAGTAATAGTAGGTAGTTGTTATTGTGTATTGCTGTTTTTTAATATCTTTATTTGGAGTAAATATAAATATCGCCACATCAGTATCCCAAGTTTTTTTCCCACATTTATTTTAAAATTTTACTTACTCATGAAATTTGAAAATCTGGGAACCAACACACCACACCACACATAACTGTAAAGCAGAAATGTCAAAAACATTTTTTTGATAGTTTTGTGTTTTTGTTTGTTGTTTTGTTGTTGTTATTGTTGTTTTTGAGACAGAGTCTTGCTGTGTCACCAGGCTGGAGTGCAGTGGCGGAATCTCCGCTCACTGCAACTTCTGTCTCCCTGGTTCAAGTGATTGTCCTGTCTCAGCCTCCCAAGTAGCTGGGATTACAGGCAGCGTGCTACCACGCCCGGCTAATTTTTGTATTTTTAGTAGAGATCAGGTTTCACCATATTGGCCTCAATCTCGACCTCGTGATCTGCCCGCCTTGGCCTCCCAAAGTGCTAGTATTAACAGGTGTGAGCCACCGTGCCTGGACTTCATAGTTTTTTTAATTAAAAAATTTTAACATCTGAAAGTGAGTTTATTTGATATTTACTCTGAAACCAAATAGTAATGGGTGAAATACTTAATCTGTATAAAGTAAGAAAATTTAGTTAAATATAGTTCTTAAAATAGCTTAAATCTGTTGTGTTAGATAGTCCTAGCTACTCAGGAGGCTGAGGCAGGGGAATCACTTGAACCTGGGAGATGGAGGTTGCAGTGAGCCGAGATTGTGCCACTGCACTCCAGCCTGGCAACAGAGCAAGACTGTCTCAAAACAAAAAAAAAAAAAAGAAAATGTTTGTGGGTTTCTACACATGGAAAATACTTATGGAATCCAGTTTTTTCTGAGGCATCCTTAGTCTTACCATTCTAAGTTTCCCATGAACCTTTATCCTGAAACTGTATCTATATACTAGCTGTCTATCTGATATCACCTTTTGGATGACATTGTTTTTATGTAATTTTAATTATACTGTATAAATTAGCAACCTGCTTTATTCATTTAACATCATCAGCATCTTTCTGTGTTACGATGTGCTTTTTGCTGACTTTTTAAATGGCAACATAAACATAATGGAGGGCATCGGAGTCCTCTGAGGAACTTGCTAAAAATACAGATGCCTGGTCTTACTTCCAGAGATTCTGATTTAGTAAGCTTACGTGAGCCTGTGATTTGACCTCTACACAGAGCGTGTCTAGAACTTAATGGAAGACATTGGCTCCTGGCTGCCCTAACTCATGAGACTGATTTGTGCTAGAACACAAATTTAATAATTAAGAAATAACAGCTGCCAAATAATTATCATTTATATTGCTCAGAAAGGACTTCGTCCCTTCTTCCCACCCCCTACCCCCAAGTACGGAAACCTATTGGGAAATGAACATGAAATCCGATGACTGCTTGGTGTGAACATAGGAAGCTGCAGCCAGTAAGATTCCCTCATGAGGCTTCCGTCTGGGGCTTGGTGATGGTCTGTGTTCCCCACCCCAGTCAGGGTTAGAGATACATTCTAGATTTTGAAGCTGTATTTCAGTTCTTTGACTAAATATATGATCTGTATTTTAGCAAGTTCCCTAGATGATTCTGATGCAACATGTCCGATAACCAACATGTGTTAGATTACGCAGCCATTTCCCCCAGGATCAGCACTTGGGTTCTTTTTTGTTTTTATAAATGCTAAGATAAATAGCTTTGCATAAAATTGTTTCAGATTTAGAATGAAATTAAATTATAGGAATTACCTGATGAGTGTGACGTGCCACCTGTGTTGTGTGTCTGTATCCCAGAGCAGTGCCTTTGCTGGGTTACCTACCTCAGGACCTGATTGGAACGTCGATCTTAACCTACCTGCACCCTGAAGATCGTTCTCTGATGGTTGCCATACACCAAAAAGGTAAGGACCTACTTCTTTATTGGAAGAAATGTTTTTCTATCATTGATTTGTTCTAATTTTTTTTTTCATCTCATTAGAGTGCAACCGTTAACCAGATAGACAGTAGATTGAAACTGCTAAAGCAATTCTTTTCTATTTAAAAATAGTAAAACAGGCCAGGCACAGTGGCTCACACCTGTAATCCCAGCACTGTGGGAGGCCAAGGTGGGTGGATTGCCTGAGGTCAGGAGTTGGAGACCAGCCTGGCCAACATGGTGAAATCTGTCTCTACTGAAAATAAAAAAATTAGCTGGGCATGGTGGCACATGCCTGTAATCCCAGCTACTCAGGAGGCTGAGGCATGAGAATTGCTTGAACCTGGGAGGTGGAGGTTGCAGTGAGCCAAGATCACATCACTGCATTCCAGCCTGGACAACAGAGCAAGACTGTGTCTCAAAAAAAAAAAAAACACTAAAACATTTACAAATAAATGGCTAAAAAAGGACATTTGTAGTCAGTATGTGTGTTAAATAAATCCCATTTTCATCTTTTTATTTTATATAGTCTTGAAGTATGCAGGGCATCCTCCCTTTGAACACTCTCCCATTCGATTCTGTACTCAAAATGGAGACTACATCATACTGGATTCCAGTTGGTCCAGCTTCGTGAATCCCTGGACCAGGAAGGTTTCTTTCGTCATTGGTCGGCATAAAGTTCGAACGTAAGCTAGTCAGTTTTCATATTTTCTAAAACATATCTTGTATCAAATAATGCTCCATAGCTTATTGACTGCCCTCTGACTCAGTTAGTTGACACACGAACTAAATAAAGCACAGATTTTTGGTGCATTTGAAAGATAGTTTGACAGTGTGTACCATGAGCCTTAAAGTAAGACATAATGTCACCCTTAACGTAGCTTAAATGCCCATCATTAAGTAAACTCTGGAATATTTGCTTCATGTATTATTATACTGGTCAATGAAAATTTTTGCAGAGATCACATAACATGGAAAAATATTTGGCATATTAAATGTAAAAATTAGCATACAAAATTATACTTATGATTACAATTATGTTTAAAACATAAACACACTATGGAATAAGGAAAAGAGAATTGAAAGGAAATAAAATATGAATTTTGGTTAAGTGTAGGTATTAGGACCTACAGGGTTTTTTCTTTTTTTTTTTTGGTCCCCTCTGTCTGTATGTTAAAGATCCCTTTAGTGAGCATGTAAAAACTTTTTATATCAGGCTTCTGCCATGAAATTCCACTTATTTATGTCTATTGTTGTTTGTTTGGTTGGTGTTTTTTTTGAGACAGGTTCTCCCTCTGTTGCCCAGGCTGGAGTGCAGTGGTGCATTCACAGCTCACTGCAGCCTGGACCTCCCCGGGCTCAGGTGATCCTCCCACTTCAGCCTCCTGCGTAGCTGGGCCCACGGGTGCCTGCCAACACATTCAGCTAATTCTTGTATTTTTTGTAGAGATAGGGTTTTGCCATGTTGCCCAGGTGGGTCTCAAACTCCTGGACTCAAGCATCCTCCTGCCTCAGCGTCCCAGAGTGCTGGGATTTTGAAAGTGTAAGCGACCGCACCCAGCCTGTGTCCATTTTTTAGTATTTCTTTCCCTGCCAGCATAGTTGATGCTGGCTTGTTGGCTTGCTGTTTCCTGTCATGTAGCAGCATCACCTAGAACGGAACTAGACCAGCCCAGCCCTCTACTTCTTGTGCCTACAGTACTCCCAGGCCCTTGAGTCTTTGGTCTTTTTTTTGAGACAGGGTCTCACTCTGTCACCCAGGCTAGAGTACAGTGGCACAGTTGGAGCTTCCTCAGCCTCTCCGGTAGGTGGGATTACAGGCACGCACCACCACCCCTGGCTCATTTTTTTGTATTTTTAATAGAGACAGGGTTTCATCATGTTGGCCAGGCTAGTCTGAAACTCCTGACCTCAAATGATCTACCCACCTCAGCCTCCCGAACTGCTAGGCTTACAGGCATGAGCCATCACGCCCAACCCTTTAGTCCATTTTTAATTGAATTCTAGGCCTTTTGACCTGGCCCTAGGTTTCCCTTCAATGTCTTTTTTTTTAAGCATGGAAATTTTACTTGACTCCAGTATCATGCTGAGATGGAGAAGTTTGGTTTTTTGGTATCTTGCTATACAGCATTATCTGCGTGAGCAGGAAGCTGAGAACAGTAGGTCTACCAGTGAGACACGTTTGATCACCTGTTAATATTACAGTAGAGATGATGCAGAGCCATGGTGAGAAGAGGTCTCAGGGTTGCTCTTACCTCTTTCTACTCCAGGGTTTGGCCTCTCTGCAGAGCACATCTAGAACTTAATGGAAGACATGGGCTCCTGGCAGCCCTAACTCATGAGATTGATTTGTCCTAGAACACGAATTTCATAATTGATAAATACAGCTGCCAAGTAATTACCATTTGTATTGCTCAGAAAGGGCTTCCTCCCTTCTCCCCACCCCATACCTCCCAAGTACTGTGACCTATTGGGAAATGAACATGAAATCTGATGGTTGCTTGGCCTCAGTGTAGGAAACCACAGCTAGTAAGATGCCCTCATGAGGCTTCCATCTGGGGCTCGGTGATGGTCTGTGTTCCCCAACCCTAGTCAGGGTTAGAGACATGTCCTAGATTTCTGAAGCTGTCTTTTCAGTGGTTTGATTAAATATATGTGAAATTACCCAACATATAATGAATATTCAGAATGTTTTCAGTATTTTTAAAAATCACACTGGTATTTACATCTTAACAACAAAGATTATGTGAGGAAAAGGATTTAAGGTCTAGTAGGTATTAATCTTGCTATAAAATAATAATCATATATTTATAAAGTATAAAGCTCTGTGTAAGACAGGGTGCTAGGCCTTGAGAAGGTGATGGTAATCAGAATGTTCTCTTGACCATCAGGGAACCCACACTGTCATGGGAGAGACAGTAAATAAAAATGGCACTGTCGTATATAACTAGAGCTTGTTAAGTGTGACAACTGAAATGAGAAGGGGGCTGTGAGACTGTTGAGCAAGGGACCCTCCCCATGTCTCTCTCAGTCCTTCCCAGCAGCGCTGCAGGCAGGCAGGTTAGGTGTCCTCACGTCTCATTTTACAGGTAAAATCCATACTCAGTGAACTGGAGTAACCTTCCCAGGGATCACCTGGGGAAGAGTGGGAAGTGGAGACTGCAGCCAGGTTTTCTTTCTTACTCCTACTTCACTTTACATACACAGCAATGTAATATTTCATGGCATTTTTGTTGCTAATTGATGAATGCTGTCTCCTTATTGCCTGCAGATTAATCATTTTCACATTATATAATTACTGATTTAAAATACACTTTACTGCCTCATGCTTGTAATCCCAGCACTTTGAGAGGCTGAGGCAGGAGGATCACTTGAGGCCAGGAGTTCAAGACTTGCTTGGGCAACATAGACCCCATCTCTATAAAAAATTTAAAAACAAAAATTAGCTGGGCGTGAGGGTATGTAACTGTAGTCTCAGCTACCTAGGAGGCTGAGGCAAGAGGGTTACTTGAGTCCAGGAATTCAAGGACATAGTGAGCCAGAATTATTGCACCACTGCACTCCAGGCTGGGCAAAAGAACAAGACCTTGTCTCTTTAAAAATAAATAAATACACATACACACACACACACACACACACACACACACACACACAAGTTTTGCAGAAATTTTCACAACTAGGAATATCTAACACTCATAGTATAAAGCAATCTGTTCTATTTCCATTTTACTCAAAAAACAAATTCCAAATACCTCTGAAAGGTTTTCAAGCTCACAATAAGCGTACAGGATGTGTTTATATTAGGAACCAGGTGTACTTTTATTCCCAGATCAATCAATCATGTATTTGTTCCTTTAACAAATATGTAGTGGGTGCCTGCCATGGACCAGACACCGTTCCAGGCACTGAAGATCTAAGAGTGGAAAAAAGACACAAAGTACTTCACCTCCTGGAGTTTACCCAGCAGTGGGATGTAGGGAGAGACACTTACATAAAACGTATAGTGTGTCAGGTTGTGAAATAAAGTATATTCAGGTACGCTTGCCACAGACTTACGGTATACCTGACACCATGCAGATAGATATTCATCTAGATATAGTCTAGATTCGAAGGGAAAGAAAGGTGATTGGTGTAGCTGTTCCGCTGCGGTGGGAGGATGTGCAGGGTGAGTGAATATTCCCTATATATGGAGATACTATTCCTGCTTTTATGACACTGTCAGCATCCTGTGATTTTCTTGATAATAATTTATGCCTTTGGGAAACTTTCAGTTTTTAGGTAACTGAGCTGCATGTATCAATTACTTATGAGACACGGCAGCCTGGCATAATGGAAAAAGGAGAGCACAGGTTGGGGGTCAGACCTAGGTGGATTCAAATCCTAACTAACTGCTGCTTCTCGGTTATGTGAACTTGGGCCAGTTCCTCAGACCGTCTCATCCCCTGACTTTGCATATCAGGGATAATTCCTACTTTCTGGGGGTGTTGTGAGGACTCCATGAGCTGATGCAGCTGATTCAGTAGGCCTCATGAATGTGACTTGCTTTACCAGCATACCCACAGGCAGTACAGTGTGTTGGTACACAGTGTGGACTCTAGCCTCGACTCTGGTCCCTTTGTGAACACCTGCCTCCCCCTTACCTGCTAGGCTAACTGGAAAAGGTCTTTGATCAGGTAAAGGAGAAAATACTTGTAAAGAACTTGGAATAATGAGGGTTTTCAAAATGTTAGGTATTCTTGTATGTTATAAAAACTAGTATAGGCCAGCTGCAGTGGCGCCTTCCTGTAATCTTAGCCATTTGAGAGGCCAAGGCGAGTGGATCACTTGAGGTCAGGAGTTTGCGACCAACCTGACCAACATGACGAAACCCCATCTCTACTAAAAATACAAAAATTAGCTGGGTGTGGTGGTGTGCACCAGTAAGCCCAGCTACTTAGGAGGCTGAGGCAGGGGGATCGCTTGAATCTGGGAGGCAGAGGTTGCAGTGATCCAAGATTATGCCACTGTACTCCAGCCTGGATAACAAAATGAGACTCCATTTCAAAAACAAACAGAAAAGGGCCGGGCGTGGTGGCTCACACCTGTAATCAAAGCACTTTGGGAGGCCAAGGAGGGCGGATCACAAGGTCAGGAGTTTGAGACTAGCCTAGCCAACATGGTGAAATTCTGTCTCTACTAAAAATACAAAGAAGTAGCCAGGCATGGTGGTGTGCCCCTGTAATCCCAGCTACTCAGGAGGCTGAGGCAGGAGAATCACTTGAACCCAGGAGGCAGAGATTGCGGTGAGCCAAGATCGTACCATTGCACTCCAGCCATTACACTCCAGCCTGGGCGATGGAGTGGGACCCTATCTCAAAAAAAAACTAGTACAGTGCCTGTCACATAGAAGGTTCCAAGTAAACGTGTTTCTCCCCTTCTTTGTGATCCTCTCTGTTGGCATATGTGCCATTCACTGTATTCAGGTCACATGTTGAAGATGCTCTAGAATTTGAGTATAAATAAGACGGAAAGTATTCTAATAGCTGCATTTTCACCACTAGGATGGGTTGCAGAACCCTCTTAATTAGATAGCAAAAGTATTAGATGCATTAAACGTTAAATGCCGTTTGGCAAACTTGGGTCTTTAAAATTCTTACAGTAAATTATTCAGTTACTGTCAAATTTTGAAACCAGTTATTTGCTGAAGATACTTTAGTAGCGAAGGAGGTGACTTGTCACTAAGTTTAGATTTGTACATATATAGCACTGAAACCATTACAGAAAGATGATTGCTTTAGAGAAACTTCACTGGCCTGTTAATGTCTCATTTGTTTCTTAGTATTTTCTGAACCTCCATGAATACAATTCTAGCCTCATATTTTCTCTTTGGAGTCAAAGAATTGTTTTGTAAAAGCATAGATCTGTTCTTGGAATAGCCTATTAAAAATTACTTTCAAAAAATTGTTTGGCTCAATCTCTCACTGGATATTTTCTAGGAGCCCACTAAATGAGGATGTTTTTGCTACCAAAATTAAAAAGATGAACAATAATGACAAAGACATAACAGAATTACAAGAACAAATTTACAAACTTCTCTTACAGGTAAGGTGAGATTTTTAAGAATGCAAAATTCTCTGAATTGTGTTTTGTTTTAATGCTCAGTAAAATCACTTCACAAAAATAAATCATAAAGGGAGACAAATCTTTGCCCTCTGCATTCCAGAAATTTTTGTCTTTCTCTTTTCATTTTTAAATTACATTTTATTCTTTTTTTTTTTTACTGTATGTTACACAGAATATCTTTGTAAGAACCCATTGTAAGACAGCAAACCAAGTGACAGAGAATTCTTACATTCCAGAGTCACTAGTGTGCTCAGCCTTTGGGTTTTGGCTTCAGGATTTTTTAAATAATTTCAATTTTAAAGATGGAAGGAGAGGGATGATAGGTCTCAGTTTCTCTTAACTATTGTAAGGTAAAAGTGGAAAAATTTATGTGTTCAAAAGAAATACCAAAGGTGTTTTCTACAAGAGATTCAGTGAGTAAGTGGTAAATAAAACTAATGGTGTCACACAGAGTAACTGCCCTCAGTGGCTTTCAGAATGTTGCCCATAAAATCTCTAGGGTGCATGAAACACCTGCCATGTTCTTGGAAAAAGTATAATATATGGTTTGCTCTCTCTGTTCTAAATTGGGCATAAAGCACTAGACTTTATTTTCATGTTTTTAAAAATTAATTACATTATCTTTTTTTTTTTTTTTTTTTTTTTGCAATAGCTCTGTGCTTACACAGTCACTCTAGAAACAAACGTCCCCACTCCATTTCTGGTCCTAGGTCGTCCTACCTACCTAGACTAGAACATAAGACCGTGCCCTTGAGAATTACTGAAATGACGGAGGGGTCCCTTTTGTGTATCAGGACCAACCTGCACACCCTAGTTTGAGATTTCAGAAATTGTCATCTTAATTTTTAGATGATTCTAGATGAGCTCTGAGGTGGCTGCATTTAGGCACCCAGCAGTTCTGGAACTGTTCCTCTTTTCCTTCCAGCCAGTTCACGTGAGTGTGTCCAGCGGCTATGGGAGCCTGGGAAGCAGTGGGTCACAGGAGCAGCTTGTCAGCATGGCCTCCTCCAGTGAGGCCAGTGGGCAATGTGTGGAGGAGACAAAGGCGGAGCAGGTGCGCGGGCTCATGTCACCTTCTTGCACAGGCGTGGTGTTCTCTGTGTTACTGCGGTTCTGCACGTGGTAACATCTTAGTATATGTTCCTGACTTAAAAGACCTCATCTGATAACAGATATTTTAATCCACCTTGGTTTTAAAAACAAAATGTCTATAGGCCGGGCACAGTGGCTCATGCCTGTAATCCCAGCACTTCGGGAGGCTGAGGTGGGCAAATCAGGAGGTCAGGAGTTCGAGACCAGCCTGACCAACATGGAGAAACCCCTCTCTACTAAAAATACAAAAATTAGCTGGACATGGTGGCATGTGCCGGTAATCCCAGCTACTCAGAAGACTGAGGCAGGAGAATTGCTTGAACCTGGGAGGCAGAGGTTGCAGTGAGCCAAGATCACGCCACTGCACTCCAGCCTGGGTGACAGAGCGAGACTCCATCTCAAAAAAAAAAAATCTGTAAAAAGAAAATACCACTTTCAGAAAGTGATATTTGCATTAATTGTAGCATTCTAAAAATTAGCATATTGGGAACAGATTTATTTAGAATTTGTTGGTACCAATATACTGTGGTGTGGTGCAGAAAACTGAATTAAAGCAGTTAATGTGCTTTAGTCATTATGTCTTCAGAGAAACAGAAGCTAAGTGTATTTTGCTTATGTATCTTTTAGTGGACATTTTTATAATTTTTTAAACTTATTTTATCATTCCTTTCCCTAAGATGACCTTGCAGCAGGTCTATGCCAGTGTCAACAAAATTAAGATTCGGGGTCAGCAGCTCTACATTGAGTCAAGGACCAAATCATCCGTCAAGCCAGTGACGGGGACGTGCACAGAACCGAACGGTGGTGGTGAGTCAGCCAGGCAGCCCCAAGGATCTCCTTCCGTGGGCTGTCATTCTCTGTGTAAACATCACATATGTGATTCATGAGCATAAAGTTATGACCCTGTGTTGCTGCTTTTCATATTTCTTGATTTGCCTAGGTAGCAATAGTAATAGTAGTGATGATAAAGGCAGCAGCAAATACTATTCTGAAAGTAAATGGTTGTATTAATAGTTGCAGTTCACTTTTACTGAAACATTAACGTTTATGAAAATACCAACAAGTTATAGATTTTCCCCCCTGCATAGGCATCTCTTTAAACAGAGTGGATGTTAGAATGCATTTTAAATAATGAATTATGTTAAAATAATAATCCCTTTCTGTCATTTTAAACAGAAAATCTTTGTGACCTAAATTCAGTGAAAAACTTTGGCTCTTTTCTTGACATATATTTACTTGACTCAAATACGAGGTGAGGAGCGCTCCAAAAATACTGGATCCATAGTAAAATTGGCATCATTTGGAAAAGTTAACCTAGTTGTATTGTATGGCATAGGGAAGTTCCATAGTATAGAAATCAAGTCAGATTGACATTTAAATATAGCTAACTTTCCCTTCATTTTTCTTCCTAAATGTTAATATAATTTGGAAGTTGTCATGGATCTTGGTCACTAAATGTTATTAATCTCTATCATTGTCAAATGTAGACATTTTACACAGTAGGGGTGAAATTTCTAAGATCAGTAATGATAACAGCTGTATTTTTCAGAAATGAAAATGATTTATACCACAAAAAATCAAACCGCAGCTCCCACAGGTGGCATCACTGGGAACCTTCTTAGTTTGTACTGCTGTCACAAAATACCTGAGACCAGATAATGGATGAAGAACAGAAACCTATTTCTCACAGATTTGGAGGCTAGGAAGTCCAAGATCAGAGGGCCACCAGGTTCAGTGTTTAGTGAGGGCCAGGTCTCTGCTTCTCAGATGGCACCTTGAACATCGCTTCCTTGGGAGGGGACAAACACTGTGTCCTCACATGGCACAAGGGATAGAAAGGCAGAAAGAGACTTAGCTAGTTCCTTCCAGCCCTTGTGAAAGGTTACAAATCCCATTCATAAGAACACAGCCCTCATGACTTTGTCACTTTGTAAGGCCATGCCTGTTAACACTGTCACATTGGGTTTTAAGTTCCAACACAGGGATGCTGGAGGGATACACACATTCAAACCACAGTAGAGCCCACAGGACTCCGCAGAAGAGCAAATCCTGCTCTTTAATTTTTTTCTTTTCTTTTTGATAGGCGGTTAAGCATTCTATTGGTTTCCTCTGCTGTTACATGTAAGGGCACAAGATTCTTGTCCCTCAAAACCCCCACATTCCCCCTCTGCAAAATAATTTATCTTAAATACAGTTTTTACTACAGATCATTATACGGAACAATGGGTCCGAGCAGAGAGAACTCTTTTAGGAGGCTTTAAAGCTAAAATGTGTAAATGTTTTCCTCATTGGCTGGTCCTGCCAGTCCTACTCACAGCTGCCTGGGCCTCAGATCTCATGGTGGCATCACAGTTTTACATACTGACTTGGTCCTCATCTCAGAATGGCTTCCCTTCTCACTTCCTGCATTGTTCAGTTTCTCATCATCTACCATGGATCTTGTAATGCCATTGGTGCTATTTTTTTTGATGGCAGTATTCCATCACTGACTTTTTATAAAAATTTAAGCTGCAGGTAGCTCTGTGCTTACACAGCTACTTTAGAAACAAGTGTTCCCACTCCTTAGATGTTTATATTTGGCTGTAATAGCACACACAGGATGTGACTCTGGGGAAGAAGGAAGATATCTTGCCATTTGGAGAACCAATGTTTCTGGGAGATCTTTATTTTATTAACATTTTGAGACCTACAAGTTTAAAGAGCTACAGAAACCTTTAGTACTGTTTACTTGAGAGACATGAGGATGCAACTTAAAAATGTCATAATTTAAATGTTAGAAATTGACTAGAGATATATACCAATGAAAAGGAAAATGCTTAGTTAAGCATGATCATTGTTTACGTGCTTTACAGGAACTTAAGGTTTAAAATTTATATATTTACCTTTCTTACAATATAAGAGCAAATAATGTTTGAAAGTAGAATAAGAAGGGAGATTTTAAGTTAATATGGGAGGGCAAGGAAAAACAGGGATATGTAAAGCCCTTTCAGCTACGTGTACAGAGGCATCATTGAGGAAATCCAGGAAACGTGAGTGTCCATGTCTAGGGTCATGGTTTGCCTGAGTGAGAGAAGATGACCCATAAGTTGAATAGATGCAAAGCGAGATGACTTCCACTTTCTGCTCCAGGATGTAGAGAGCCAGAAATAGCATCACCCCAACCTACAACAGAAACATCTGGATGAAAGGCAAGTTCAAGACCTTTCTTGACCTCAGAGTGCAGAGGTTACAGAGCAGCCAGCAGGCCTAAAATCTAAGGAGAGAAACTATTTGCAGGGAGGAGCAAGATGCAGCACTGGATTACTGTGCACTTGAGACTGGGTTGCGGGGCACCTGGGAGGCTCAGCTTCCCAATAGGATGTGTTCCTCCAGGCCCTTGGTCCCTCACTCACCCAAGAATGGGGGAGAGGACCCCGCCGGACATGGTGAGCTCATTTTAAGTAAATATCAGAGCCCAAAGAGTTTTGCAGAAAGTGATTTATTTAGGCAGAGAGAAAGGAGAAAGAAAAGCAATCCCACAATGTCATGGAAGGGGATCCGGAGATGGAGTCCTCCCAGAAGAGAGAAGGGAACTTTTAACCTGGGAGTTAATTCCCACCCTATTCAAGTTTTCTGTCCTATGAAAGGAGTTCCTTTAAACTTCTGCTGGATTCAGACCTTTGATTTGTTGTTTGGCCTAGAGTCCTCCCATAGCTTCTTGTGGGTTCTAGACAAAGGAAGCTTACCTGGGCAGTCCATCTTCCCACGGGGAAGTTAAACAAAGACCTCTAAGCTCCCAGATGGAGACGTGGGTGGAGGTATGGCACTGGGAAATTCTTGTCTTTGAATCCACACCCACTTTTGGATCTGATCTGGGAAGGGAATACATTCCCTCATACTGATGACCTGAGTCAAGTAATTTGCAGAAGACAGACCCTCTGCAGGCACAATGCCAAGGAAAGACCAGAAGCTGAAAGTGGAGCAGATAATGAGAAAAAAACAAAAAAGTTATCCACCAAACCAGCCACCAGCTGAGGCAAAAAGTATAACTAGAGGAATTTGAAGGCTGCTGTACATGCTATAAAACCATCACAATACTCAAACCTGGCCTAAAAAATTAGATTAATTCAAACACGCAAGGAAAGGCATCCCCAGTCTGTGTTGTCCTACACAAGTTATGCAGTTCTCAACAAGAAATTATGTAACATACGGATAGGTAAGAAAGGGAAAAAAAACTCCCAAGAGACAAAACCATCATCTGAGACTTAGATAGGACAGAGAAGTTTGAACTATCTGACAGGGAACTGAAAATAATTATGAATGATGCATTAAAGACTAGTGGACAAAGTGGGCACCATGCAGGACCAGGTGGGTAATTGCAGCATACAGATGGGCATGAAAGAAATACTCAAATGGAAATGTAACATCTGTAACATCAGTGCTAGAGATAAGGAACACATTTGATGGCACTCAACAGAGTCTGGAGAAGAATCATTATTTAAGCTGAAATAGAGAAAGAAGAATGAAGCAAACGGTGTTCTAAGAATTTGGAGACGGCCTCAAACTATCTAACATAGGTGTAACTGGAATCTCAGAAGAAATATTTGAATAAACAACAATTTTCTACAGAGCCAAATAATATCAAGTAAGTTAAATACAAAACAAAAACAAAAAAACAAAACAAAACACGGGCATATCATATACAAATTGATGAAAAAAGAAAATCCTGAAAGCAAAACAGAGAAACAAAAATAAGAATTATGATAGCCATTTCTTCAGAAACCATGCACACTAAAAAGGTGATAGAGTAACGTCTTCAACCAGAAAAACTGTCAGCACAGAATTTTATACCTAGTGAAAATGATGTTTAAGAAAATAAAGGTTATGTAGAAATTTTCTCAAACAAAAAGCATGGGAATTTATTTTCAGCACACTTATTCCATATGAAATGCTAAAGGAATTTCTTAAGACACAAGGAGTATGATACCAGACCAAAAACTTGGATCTACACAAAGAAGTAAAATGCACTGGAAATGGAATAAATGAAGATAAAAGAAATTCTATTTTTTAATTTTTAAAATTACTCATAAAGGTGACAGACTAAAGCAAACAGCAGATTGGATTTATAGCATACATAAAAGTAATCTTTGTGACAGTACTGCTGCAGAGGCTGGGGGACAGTCATTGGGAATACACCATCATTAGATCCTAATACTGCATTTGAAACAGTATTTTATTATTTGGAGGTAGACACTAAGTATTTAAGAATACATATTGGAGCTTTTAGGAAAACACTTGGAAAATATTTTTAAGTATGATTAATAAGTTAATAGAGGAGGTAAAATGGAGTTTAAGACACTTAACCCAAAATGTGGCCAAAAACCAAATGGAACTGAAGCTGGGAGTGGTGACATGTGCTGGCTACTCAGAAGACTGAGGTGAGAGGCTCACTTGAGCCCAGGAGTTCTAGTTCAGCCTGGGTAACATGGACATACCCCGTCTCTAAAAATACAGTTAAAAATAAACAGCAAATGGAACAAATAGAAAACCTGGTGGCTGGTATATTTTAATCCAACAATATCAATAATCACTAATGTATTGAATATGAATGTGAATCATTCAGTCCAGTTATTCATATTCAATATGAATAATCTCAGTATACTAATTTACAAGACTGAAATTGTCAAACTGGATGAAAAGATCCAGCTACATACTATCTACAAAAACCCCTTGTGAAAATAAAGAGGTTAAAAGCAAAAGAGTAGAAAAGATACACCATGCTAACACAAATCAAAAGAAAGCGGGAAGCTGTATTATTATTATACGAAGTAGACTTCAGAAAAAGGAAAGTTACCAGAGTTAGCGAGTGAGATTGTATAACAGATAAAGGGGCTGATTCCCTGAGAACATAGAACAATCTTACATGTTTATGAATCTAATACCAGAGCATCAGAATACATGAAATAAAAGCTATAAAACTGTAAGGAAAAATAGATAAAGTCACAATGATAATTGGAGACTTCAGCACATTTCTTTTTTTTTTTTCCCTCTCTCTCTCTCTCTTTTTTTTTTTTTTTTGAGACAAAGTCTCACTCTGTAGCCAGGCTGGAGTGCAGTGGCGCAATCTTGGCTCACTGCAACCTCTGCCTCCTGGGTTCAAGTGATTCTCCTGCCTCAGCCTCTTGAGTAGCTGCGACTACTACAGGCACCGGCTAGTTTTTGTATTTTTAGTAGAGAAGGGGTTTCACCATGTTAACCAGGATGGTCTCAATCTCCTGACCTGTGATCCACCTGCCTCAGCCTCCCAAAGTGCTGGGATTACACGTGTGAGCCACCATGCCTGGCTAGACTTCAGCACATTTCTGTCTGTAACTGATAAAAAGTAGTAGTCAGAAAATTAGTAATGCTATAGAAGACCTGAACTACACTTTCAACAAAGTCTGCCTATTTGACATTTATAGAAAGCTTGACCGAACAACAGAATACATGTTTTTCATGCAACAGTCATCAAAACAGATCATAGTATGGCCATATTACAAACCTTAAAACATTTTTAAAGAAAAGAGATCATACTCTGTTCATTGTCTGACCATAATGGATGAAACTAGAAATCAGTAACAGAGGTATCCAGAAAATCCCCAAATGTCTGGAAATTAAGTAACTTCATACTTCTAAATAATCCACAGGTCAAAGAGGACGTTTCAAGGGAAATAAAAACAATTTGAACTGAACAAAATGAAAGGACAACATAAAACATGTGGGATATACCTAAAACAGTGCTTAAAGTGAAATTTACAGCATTGAGTGTTTATACAGAAAAAAGAAGATGGTCTCAACTTGCTTATCTAAGCTTCCTCCTTAAAAATAAAAGAAAGAAGAACAAATTGTATCTCAAGCAGTAAGAAGGAAATAATAAAGACCAGATAGATATCAATGGAATTGAAAAGAGAAACTAAGTTAAATCAAAGGGTAATAAAAAGTCTTTAGCCAAACTGAACAAAAGAAAGAAGAAAGGAAGGACAGTTGGACTTTATCAAAATTTAAAACTTCTCCTTTTTGAAATACACTGATAACTATGGCCATACTGCCCTGAATGTGCACAATCTCATCTGAAAGACACTGATAAGATGAAAGACAAAATATTTGCAAATTATATATACAATAATGAAGTTATACCCAGTGTACATAAAGAATGCCCAAAACTCAAGAAAGCAAACAACCCAATTAGAAACATTTTTCTAAAGAAGGTACATAAACAGCAAATAGCATTTTAAAAAAAATGCTGAACCTATGTCATTAGACAAAAAAAAAAAAAAATTAAAACCATATAAAATACCATCACACATGAGTGAAAATAGCTAAATATTTTTTTTAAAAAATTGACAGTACCAAGTGTTGGCAAGGATGCAGAGTGACTGGAACACTCACCTATTGCTGGAGGTAATGCCAAACTGTCTAGCCACTTTGGGAAGGTTCGACGTTCCCCATAAAGTCAGACATACTCTTACCACATAACTTAGCAATTCCATTCTTAGTGATTTACCCAACTGAAATAGAAACAAGTTCACACAAAAACCTGTATGTGAATATTACACTGTTACTCGCCAAACACAAACAACCCAAATGTCATCAGCAGGAGAATGGATAAGCTGTATACATCCACACAGTGAAATGCTACTCAGCAGTGAAGAGAAGGAACTTGATTCACAGAGCGTTGCAGACAGAAATCTTAAGTACATTTTGTTAAGTGAAAGAAGGCAGAACCAAAAAGTTACATATTGTACAGTTCCATTCTGGAAAAGCATTCTTTCTGGAATGCTCTGGATCTGGAAAACGGATCAGTATTTACTATGGCTGGGTGGAAGAGGAGTTGACTACAGAGGGACATTTTTAAGTCATAGAAGTGTTCTTTTGGTTACTGTGGTGTTGGATGCACAACTTGCTTTGCATATGCCAAAACCCACAGATTCGTGCACTTCATCTCACCCCAAAACGCAGAGAGCACCTAGGATGAGATGCGGGCTTTGACAGGTGAATCCGAATGCAGTACAGATGATCGGCCTAAACATACGGAAGGGATGGGGAAGAATGGAGCTCTGTAGCTTTGGAAAACAGTGCTGCAGCTGGATCTCCTAGGGCTAATACAAAATTGTGAATGTGTACAAACACTGTGCTTCAGTTGGTGTATTCGTTTCCCACCAGAGTACAGGTTAGCAGTTCTAAAGCGACTTTATACTAGGGTTGAACAAATCATGGAGGCTGCTATAGGTAACGATAATCAGACTCCTAAGTATCAGAGGAAAGCCACACAACCGAATGGAAGGAACTCCATGGTGCTGGATTGGCGCTCACGGTTTCAGTATGGACTCATGCCCCTTTTGTTTACATACAGAGGGATGGATAGACACAGGTTAGTGTATACTATGTCAAATAAAAAAAATGAAGAATAAAACAGGTGGTTCAGGCAAAGATGATCAAGGAATGAAACTACAGGTGAAAGGTTAATGGGGAACTTAAACTTTCATTAGAAGGTGGAAGTTTAAAAGAAACAGAATACTTGTGTGATCTCAAAGCACTCCTCCAAAACTTAGCTATTATCACCTTGTAAACTAGTGACTTTACACGGGACAAACAAACCTGAGAGACACCACCTTAACCAATGACCAAGGTAACAAAACATATTAACATCATGTGCCCTGGGATGAGGCCCTAGGAAGGACACTGTACCCCAAATGCCTCACCTTGACCTAATCATGATAAAGTGTCAGAGAAACTCCAGTCGAAGGGCATCCCGCTAAAGTTCTGACCTCTGCTCTCCAGCAGACCCTGAAGGCAAAAGCAACATCAAGTAGTAAACCAATGAAATCCAAAGAAGGCCTGGATTCCAGTTAGTAGAATGGTTCCACTGTTCATTTCCTAGTTCAGGTCATTTTATTATGGTTGTATACCACGGTAATGATGGAAGCTGGGTGGTGGGCATATAGGAACTCTGTTGTACTATTTTTGCAACTCTTCCAGTTTATTTCAAAATTAAAAGTTAAAAATAATTAATGAGGCCAGGCACGGTGGCTCATGCCTGTAATCCCAGCACTTTGGGAGGCCAAGGCGGGCAGATCACAAGGTCAGAAGTTTGAGACCAGCCTGACCAACATAGTGAAACCCAGTCTCTACTAAAAATAGAAAAGCTAGCTGGGCACGGTGGCAGGCGCCTATAATCCCAGCTCCTCGGGAAGCTGAGGCAGGAAAATCTCTTGAACCCAGGAGGTAGAGGCTGCAGTGAGTCGAGATCACGCCACTGCGTGCACTCCAGTCTGGGCAACAGAGCAAGGCTGTCTCAAGAAAAAAAAAAAAAGTTAATGAGTGTAAGGTAATATAGTCATTTTTCCATAATACCCTCTGAAAATAGAGAAGACTCTTCCAAGCCAGCTAAAAATGACGAGCGTCTAAACCTTCTTAAAAAACCTCTCAATAGTACTTGACATAATTAGTTACTCTATCCTTAAGAAAGTTTTCATTCTTGGTCGCTGGGTAACTGAACCTTGCAGGGTTTCCTGTGATCTAACTGCCCTTTTTCAGTCTCCTTTGTGGGATAATTGTCCTTAACAGGAGGTTTTTAGTGCTTAAGCCTAGAGGTTTTTTTGGTTTTTTCCTTTTTTGAGACAGTCTCGCTCTGTCACCAGGCACCAGGCTGGAGTGCAGTGGCGCAATCTCGGCTCACTGCAACCAAGCCTGGAGGTTTTTTTCTTCTCTCTGTACCTGTGCTATCTACAATGATGGCCACTTGCCACATTTGGCAATTTAAATTCAAATTCAATACAATTAAAGTTTAGTTTCTCAGTTGTTCTAGCCACATTCCAAGTGCTCAATAGGTACGTTAGTGGCTACCATACTAATCAGCACAAATAATAGTTCCGTCGGTCATCACGGAAGGTTCTGTCAGGCACAGGTTCCATGTGGGAGACGCTGTGTACTTCACCCAGCAACATGTAAGACACACAGGTCTGCCCAGATTCCACCCTTAGTAATTGCCAGGGTCGATCAGTTGTACAGGTAGTGTCAGCTCAGCATTGGAAAGTTCCTCATCAACCTTTAACCTATGGTTTCATTCCTTGATCATCTTTGCTGGAAACTTTTGTTTCACTCCGTATTTTTTTAAATACAGTTGTAGCCATTCTATGTATAATATGCTCTGCACCTTAGTTTGTTCACATTGGATATCAGTGCATTTTAGATCTGCACTCATTATTCATAGCTGAATAATATCCTATTGATACATATATGATAAAGTGCCATGATTTAATTTTGCTAAGAAAGTATATGTTTTTAATTACATGCTGAGTACTTTTAATCGCACATTGCTTTATTCTGTTTCAGGTGACTATACGGCCTGTACTTCCTTCCACCAAACACTGAAAAATAATAGCACGTACACTGAGCCTCACGAGGATTGGAGGAACGAAGAGCACAGCCCGTCCTATCAGCAGATTAACTGTATCGACAATGTCATCAGGTATGAGACCACAGTTCTGATACTATGTTAGTCTTCTCCAAAAGCATATGCTGTCACTGTAGACGCTTCACAGAATTTTTAATAGCTGCTCTGACTTGGGTTTTCACTATAAATCAGTAGATATTTATGGAGTGCCTAACACATACAGTTCATAATACACTGAACATTACGGAAGGCACAAAAAGCTAGAAGATGCATCCCTTCTTTGAAGGAACTGTGGTACAGTTGAGAAGACAAGACCTAATTTTGTCAAAATTAAATGGTGTAAGGCAAGCTTGTCTAACCTGTGGCCAGGCCACATGTGGCCCAGGACAGCTTTGAATACAGCCGAACGCAAGTTCTTAAACTTTCTTAAAACATTATGAGATTTGTTTTTTTGTTTTTTGGGTTTTTTGTTGTTTTTTTTTTTTTAGCCCATCAGCTATCATTAGTATTAGTATATTTTATGTGTGGCCCAAGACAACTGTTCTTCCAATGTGGCCCAGGGAAGCCAAAAGATTGGACACCCATGGTGTAAGAGATGAAGGTTAATTCAAGACCACAGTAAAAGAAATACTACAATCCAGTGATTGAGGCTGGGATGGTCAGGGAAGACTTTATCAAGAAGAAAGTACAAACTACCCCAAACAGAACTGGCATGAGAAAAGCAAAGAGATGGGAAATGGCACAGTTAGGGAACAGGTAAGAATATGTGGCCTAATTATGTTGTACAGATACCTAAAGAGCTACAATATTCCAGCTTTGAAAAGAAAGTGTATCTCCTGTACAAATACAACTTCTTCATCCTCAGAAGAAGACAAACAGAACCACAAAGTGGATGATGTCCAAGCCTTACAAGGTAACAAGAATGCCCCTCAGAGTTAAATTAAAAGAATTGTAAATGTATCCTTCCTATTTCTTTTTAATGTCTTATCTTTATTTTGTTGTAAAGATAAAATTCTGGTTTCATGTTACTGCTCTATGGCCAGTAAGGTTTAATTTCTCAGTTACAAACTTTTGTAAACTGGGTCTTGGGTAAATTTCTTGTTGGGAATTTTTCTTTTCACTGTCAGTTTCTCTTACATCACCAGCTGGTTTGCAAATCCCAGCCATACCCAAGCCAGAAATGCCAACAAATGGATGGTCCACAGACGCAGGAGGAGGAGCTCCACAGATCCTGTCCACGACAGTGCTGAGCTTGGGGTCGGGCATGAGCCAGTGTGGTTACAGCAGCACCACTGTCCATGTCCCACCCCCAGAGACAGGTACCACACTCACCTCTGACTTTGAAAACATACTCAACTTAACTACATTGTGATGAGAAAACAAAAGTCATGAATACCATTTGCTCAGTTACAACTTCTAAATTACACATATGTTTTTCTTTCTTTAATTCAGTTAAAGGATTTCTGGAAACGTTGTCATCTTTATGTCAGTTACATATTTTGGACCTTATTTGTCAGTTATGTTATTTGTCAATGAAATCAGTTGACACATATAAAGCACTTAATATAGTACCTAGTAGGTAGGTAGTACTCAATTGGTGTTAGTCATTATTAATGCAGTTATTAATGGGACTGTGTTAGGTTACCTTGTTGCTGACTTTTAAAGAATGGGCCCGCGTAGCCGGGCGCAGTGGCTCAAGCCTGTAATCCCAGCACTTTGGGAGGCTGAGGCGGGTGGATCACAACGTCGAGAGATCGAGACCATCCTGGTCAACATGGTGAAACCCCGTCTCTACTAAAAATACAAAAAAATTAGCTGGGCATGGTGGTGCGTGCCTGTAATCCCAGCTACTCAGGAGGCTGAGGCAGGAGAATTGCCTGAACCCAGGAGGCGGAGGTTGAGGTGAGCCGAGATCGTGCCATTGCACTCCAGCCTGGGTAACAAGAGCGAAACTCCGTCTCAAAAAAAAAAAAAAAAAAAAAAAAAAAAAAAAAAAAAGAATGGGCCTGCATTTCACCATCCTGTGTAGTTGTGATGAGCTTAGTCACATATATATTCAGATTTTTGTATTCATGTGATAGCAATGCATAGAGTACTTTTAAAACTCTTATTTAACACCATAATTACTTGGTAAATTATTCTCCTGGCTTCTTTTTATTACTCTTTATTGCCACCTGTCCTTTTGACTTTTTCATTGCTCATAATAATTTGGGTAGATGAAGGAATAGTGACAAATATGTTAAATTGGGTTTTCACATGATCTCTACTTTATCTTTCCTAGTCCTCAACGGCATATCAGCTAATATGCATTGAGCCATTTCCATGTGCCACTGTCTGCTCTTAGTCCTTCATTGGAATGATCTCATTAAATCTTTCCAACAATTTGTGAGATGGAGAGCGTGGTACTGACAGGAGAAGTGTTGGATTGGTGGGGAAAGACCAAAGAGTATTATGTTTCTAATTAGTCAAAAGTAGAGTTTCACTGGACCTGAACTAGCCCCTCCAGACAGGAGCATATGCACATTTTTAATATTCTGCGTTCCTGTGTGGCCATGTAGCTGTTCACAGTACAGCCCATACAGGAAGGGAGGGTCTCACTCAATAGGGAAAGCTTTTTGGGGGCTGGGCGCAGTGGCTCACGCCTGTAATCCCAGCACTTTGGGAGGCTGAGGCAGGTGGATAACAAGGTCAGGAGATCGAGACCATCTTGGCCAACATGGTGGAACCCCGCTTCTACTAAAAATACAAAAAATAAAAATAAAAGCTCTTTTTTGACTCTGCCACCCTGCTTTCTTTACTCTGCTTTTATATTACCGTTTTTCATGAATTTATACTAAAGTCCATGTGCTTTAGGCAATTTTTACTGATATTAGTTTCTCCTGATCTTAAATCAGCCTCAACATCTACAGGGCCACATCTTTATTTCATGGAGAAAAGGCAGAATCACAGCCCAGATGTTCTTTAAAAATTATGTCTTTTGCTTTCTGAAAAGCTCATATTCATTCTCTCAGCTACATTCTGGCTCTAATGAGTTATGACTGAGGACCATGATCACAAATGTATTCCCTTACAAGTTAATATCTTCATTTTATGTGTGGAACAATTAAGGCACAAATAGGTAACGTAACTTAACTTGCCCAGTATCATATAGCCCATGAGTAGTAGAGTAGGGAATTGATTATTGACCATTAGTCTCCAGGAGTCATTGCCATTGTAGATATTTTGAACCTAAAGCAGGATCTAATGAAGATGGAATGTAGGCCAGCCACAGTGGCTCACTTCGGGAGACCGAGGCAGGCAGATCACCTGAGGTCAGGAATTTGAAACCAGCCTGGGCAACTTGGTGAGACCCTGTCTGCAAAAAAATTAATTTTTTTTTTTTGAGTCAGAGTCTCACTCTGTCATCCAAGCTGGAGTGCAGTGGTGCAATCTCAGCTCACTGCAGCCTCCGCCTCCAAGGTTCAAGCGATTCCACTCCCTCAGTCTCCCAAGTAGCTGGGATTACAGGTGCCTGCCACCACACCCAGTTAATTTTTGTATTTTTAATAGAGACAGGGTTTTACTATGTTGGCCAGGCTGGTCTTGAATTCCTGACCTCAGGTGATCTGCCTGCCTCGGCCTCCCAAAGTGCTGGGACTACAGGCGTGATCCATTGCACCCAGCCCTAAAATAATTTTTTAAAAGATGGTATATGAGGTACAGTGGCTAAAAAGCCAATCAATAAAATGAAATTTTGAAATATACTCGAAAAAGAAGGGCAGGAAAGGAGGATAAACAAAAAAGAAGCAGAGAGAACAAAGCAAGCAACAAGAGTAGCTCTAAATCCAGCTCTGTCAGTAATGACATAAAATTGACTTCGCACTTCAATTAAAAGGCCAAAATTGGACCAAGCATAGTGGTTCACACCTGTAATCTCAGGGACTCGGGAGGCTGAGAAAGAAAGAAGACTGCTTGAGGCCAGGAGTTTGAGACCAGCCTGGCCAATATAGTGAAACCCCATCTCTACAAAAAAAATTTTAAGTTAGCCAGGTGTGGTGACCCACACCTGTAGTCCCAGCTACTTGGGAGGCAGGGGCAGGAGGATCAGTTGAGCCTAGCTTGAGCCCATCTTGAGTTCAGTGCTATAGTGAGCTCTGATCACATTACTGTACTCCAGCCTGAGTGACAAAGCAAGACCCTGTCTCTAAAAATAAGTAAATACAAAAAGGCAAAAATTCTCAACACAGCTTTTAAACAAATCAAGACCTAACTATACGTCCTCTGCAAAGTACAATTAAAATTCACAAATGGGTTCAAAGTAAATGAATGGAAAAAGATGTGCAAGTCAAACAATAAGCATAAGAAGGCTGCAGTGCCTTATTAATGTGTGCAGGGTAGATTTCAGGACAGTCATTTCATAATGACACAGCAGTCAGTTGAGGAAGACGTAACAGTCATAAATGTCTATTCACTAATAACAGAGCTTTGAAAGCTCTGAAGCAAAAATGTGGAAATAGACTTTCCATAATTCTATTTGGAAAATCATACAGTCCCTCTCTCCAATTGATAAAAATATAGAGAGAAAAAATAAGTAAAGAAACATGATCTTTGCAGCACTATCAACCACCTTAATCTAATTGAGACTTAGAGAACATGAGACCCAGTAACTGCATAATACACAGTCTTCAAGCACACACAATATGTTCACTGAGAAATAAGACATGTTGGGCTGTACTGTGTCTCAGATTTAAAGGGATTGATGGTGTGGTGTGTAAACTGTGGTGTTCTCTGGCTAGTGAATTAAATTACAAATCAGTATATTTAGACCCAAATATTTAGAAGTCAGACAACACATTTCTAAACCTATGATTCAAAAAAGAAATCACAAAGAAAATTAGAAAATATTTCCAAATCACTGATACTGAGAGTATAGCATACTGAAATGTGTGGGATACAGCTAAAAACGGGGCATGTAAGATCAGTAGCTTTAAAATGCTGTTAGAGAAGAGATGTCTCAAATCAGTGATCTGAAGTTACAGTTTAAAAAGTTAGCCAAAGAAGAGTGAAGGAAGTCCAAGGTGGAATGAAGAAAATAACAAAGATAAAAGCAAAAGCCAACAATGGAAAACAGACAATAGAGGAATGTAAAGCTAAAAGTTGGTTCTTTGAAAAGATGAACAAAATTGATAAAACCCTTATCCCAGTACAGAGTAGTCTTAGTTCATGTGGCTGTACAGTAAGTCTTGAAATCAGCTAGTATAAATCCTTCACCTTGATTCTTTTTCAAGATTGCTTTGAATATGCTAGGTCTTTTGTCTGCATAAATTGTAGACTCAGTTTCTCACTATGTTTATTCCTTATTATGGGGTTATATTTTCCTGCTTCTTTGTATGCCTGGTGATTTTTTTTTTTTAATTGGAGGCCAGATGCTGGGAATGGGTACCACATATTTTTGTATTCCTATAAATATTCTTGATCTTTATTCTGGGCCGCAGTTACGTTACCTGGAAACAGATTGATCCTTTAAGGTTTTGCTTTTTAAATTTGTTAGGCAGGACGAACAGTGTGTAGTCTAGGCCTGTTTTTTCTCTGCTGCCAAGGCAAGACCCTCCTGAGTGCTCCATGTGGTGCCTCAGGAGTGAGGAGATTGTCTAGTCTGGCGGATGGGAGCCGGCACTGTTCTGCAGCTTGTGTGAGCTTCGGCTCTTGTTCCTGCTGTTCCTTTCAGGTGGTTTTTTCTTCCCATGAATGCCTTGGAAAGTCCTTGGAAACCCTCCAGGCTGTGCGCTGGGGCAGCCCTCAGGCTCACCTCCCTTGTTTCTTATCCTTGGGGGTCACTTTCCTTCGGTGTCTGAAACCTACTGCTTTATATATTTTGGCCTTTTTGTTTTTGTTTTTTTTTTAAATCTCAGACAGGAAGGTAAGTTTGGTCCCTGTTACTCCAACTTGGCTAGAATTGAAGCCCCTGTGGTGTTACAGGCCACTTCCAGGTGTGGACTGGGGCCAAACCACCTGGATACTGCACCACAGAGGTGGGCCAGCATGGATGTCCACCTCCACAGTGTCCACCACAAAATCTTTTCTTCTTAGAAGAAGTAATCAACCCCAAAATATATGTAACTGTTCTATATCAATAAAAGAAAATTTAATGTACAACTATTCTGTATCAATAATAAATAGTTAAATAACCATATAAAAAAGAGGCAACCCAAAATCCATCCATAGATGCTCACTTTAGTAAACTGGTATGCATATAAAATGGAATTCCACAGCAGTGCAGAAGTATGAGACAACTGTTGAGGCATTGATAAAGTTCTCCAAGGGATACTGTAAAGGGAAAAAGGTATGTTGGTGGCTAATGGACCTATGTGCCTTTGGGTAAAGATGGGGCCAGGGAGGAAGATAATCTATATTCACACTTGTTCATATGTAATAAAGAAACTGGAAGGGCCAGGTGCAGTGGCTTATGCTTCTAATCCCGGCACTTTGGGAGGCCGAGGTGGGTGGATCACCTGAGGTCAAGAGTTCGAGACCAGCCTGGCCAACATGGTGAAAACCCCATCTTTACTAAAACTACAAAATTAACCAGGCATGGTGGCATGAGTCTGTAATCACAGCTACTTGGGAAGCTGAGGCAGGAGAATCACTTGAACTCAGGAAGCGGAGGTTGCAGTGAGCCGAGTTAGCACCATTGCACTCCAGCCTGGGCAATAAGAGCGACACTCCATCTCAAACAAAATATTAAATAGATAAATACAAAACTTAGCCAGGTATGGTGGTACACGCCTATAGTCCCAGCTACTGGGGAGGCTGAGGCAGAATCACTTGAACCCCCAGGGAGGTTGCAGTGAGCCGAGATCGCGCCACTGCACTCCAGCCTAGCAACAGAGCGAGACTTCACTCCAGCAGAATGGTCTTCTGCAAGGGAAACGAACGAGAACTAGACAGAGCGTGGACAGGGGTGAGGAGAATTTCCTACATGTCATTTTTAATACTTGCTGATTTTTGAACCACATGAATATATTACCTATTTAAAAAATAAATTCAAAGATAAAAAGAAATTTTGAAGAATTCAGGGAGAGAGAAAAATGTTTACAATAAAAGCAAGATTTAAATAAATGTGTGCATATTGATTATTACAACTGTGAAATGTGTGTGCATTTGTGCAAAAAATATAAAGGAAGACAGAAAATCAAGAATTTCTGTGCTGGGCTAATGAAGTTTTTGGTATTCCCGCAGTTACAATAGTGTTTGTAAAAATGTTAACTGAAAGGCAGTTAACAAAGTAAAATAAATAAATACAAATAATTGATAGAAATTAAAATTAAATATATCTTCTTCCACCTCAGCCAGGGATGCCACCCTCATGTGTGAGCCCTGGACCCTGAACATGCAGCCAGCCTCTTTGACCTCAGAAGAATTTCAACACGTGGGGCTCACTGCGGCTGTTCTGTCGGCACACACCCAGAAGGAAGAGCAGAATTATGTTGATAAATTCCGAGAAAAGATCCTGTCATCACCCTACAGCTCCTATCTTCAGCAAGAAAGCAGGAGCAAAGCCAAATATTCATATTTTCAAGGTAGGTGTGTTTTTAAAAATAAATGCCATTGGCCAGGCATGGTGGCACATGCCTGTAATCCCAGCACTTTGGGAGGCTGAGGCAGGCGGATCAAGAGATCAAGACCATCCTGGCCAACATGGTGAAACCCTGTCTCTACTAAAATAAAAAAATTAACGGGGCGTGGTGGCGGGCGCCTGTAGTCCCAGCTACTTGGGAAGCTAAGGCAGGAGATTCACTTGAACCTGAGAGGTGGAGGCTGTGGTGAGCTGAGATCCGGCCACTGCTCTTCAGCCTGGTGACAGGGAGACTCCGTCTCCAAAATAAATAAATGCCATCAATCTACGTCGATGTTATAAATTATATCTAAGGACTTGGAGATAAGGAGTGAACAATAGGAGTTTTACTTGTAAGAAACTGATGGGGAGATGCTGAAACAATCTATTTATATCAACAATTTCTCTAGGCTCTTTCTTAGATCCTATATCTGAGAAACTGTTTTTTCATGAGAAACTGATCGAGAGATGCTGAAATAAGTTTACTCGATAGCAATGATTTTTACCCGGAATTTTGTTCATCTTTTTTAGAGCCACTTTTTGCCATTCTGGTAGTATTGGCAAATGGGCATTCCTTTCTCAACTATTTATAAAGTATCTGTAAATGGCATCCTTCTCTTCTTTTTGGGTTTAATTTTCCATAATTTGCTTCTACCTTTATCCTTCCAGGAGATTCGTCTTCCAAGCAGACTCGGTCGGCCGGCTGCAGGAAAGGGAAGCACAAGCGGAAGAAGCTGCTGGAGCCACCGGCCAGCAGCAGCTCGAACACAGGCTCCGGTCCCCGCAGGGGAGCGCATCTGAACGCACTGCCCTGCTGCCCCTCCGCGGCCTCTTCTCCGCACTCCTCAGGCCCGACCTTCCCACCTGCCGCCATGGTACCCAGCCAGGCCCCCTGTCTCGTCCCGGCGTTTCCGCTCCCAGCCGTGACCTGTCCCGGAAGAGAATATGCCGCCCCCGGAAGTGCGCCGGAAGTCCTGCTTGGGCCGTCCGCGTCCAAGGACCTGCAGACTTGCCCAGCTTTCCTTTCTCCTTACTTGGCTACTTTTATGACGGTTTTCCTGCCTGACCCCTCTGTCTGCTCTCTGTTGTCGCCGTCGTTCTTTCCACGTCCATTCCTGGGGGTGACAGCCTCTTCTGCAATATCACCCTCCATGTCGGCCATGACTCCAAACCTGGACCCACCCCCTTCAGTCACCAACCAAAGGAGAGAGGAGGAAAAGTGGGAGGCACAAAGCGAGGGGCACCCATTCATTTCCTCCAGGAGCAGCTCGCCCTTGCAGTTAAACTTACTTCAGGAAGAGATGCCCAGACCCTCTGAATCTCCAGATGAGATAAGAAGGAACAGGTGCCCACAAGCTGAGTATGTAAGTGATGCTCATTTTCAACACTCAAGTGACAAAGTAAATAACTTTACTAAAGTTAAGGTGCTTGCGCTGGGACTCAGCGCTGACATCCTCAGTGGGTAATCCGCATGACTACTGTGAGTGGGCCTGTTAGCCTAATGATGTGTAAACACGAAACACAAATGCCTGGCTGTTTGGAAAGTAGACATGAAAGAATCGTCTATATTCTGGATTCTTACTTTGTGAGGTTTTTCCCAAAGTGCTTCTTTCAAGTTTTCATGTGAACTGGATTCCCTCCACTTTTTAAAATTCGATCCAGGTATTACCCTTAAGTGTTCATTGCCTATAATATATATTTGCTTACCTACAACTGGGCTTATGGTCTGGTAAGATGGGAATAAGCCATACTGACAATTTATCGATTGTACTTCTTCATGCACAGTCACGGGACAACAGGTGTGTATAAAGCAGTAGCAGCTACTTTATTTGTATTATCAGTAGAGAAGGCAGTTTATAGTTTCACACTTAAACATGTAATTTTTTTAAAAGTCAAAAGTTTTTTTGGTCTGCTTCCTTTAACTTTTCATCCCTTTACCTAGAAAGCCATTCTCAGGTTTATTTAGCAGGTTAAACTTTGGAATCTGACCTTCCTGTATAGAATCCAAGGCAAGTGTGAATATTTACACGAATTTTTCTTTGACCTTCAAGGTATAATACCCTCCTTTAACAGATATTCAAAATCTGTGATCCAAATCAGGAAAATATGCTCACTTTTGCAAGCCTAGTATTAGTGTACTTGCTAAAAATCTAAGGCAAGGGAATGTATGACAGTGAATAAAACCTGGGCTATCGAGTAAGACATGGATTCAAACCCCAGCTCTGTCACTAGTTAGGTAGATTCGCTTAGACAAGTTATTTCACCTTTCTTTGCTTCTGTTTCCTTATTAGGAAAATGAAAAGGTGAATCCCTCATAGCTTACTCTGACGGCTAAATGATGTAGTATTTATGTAGTACTTCTCCCCATGCAGTAGGCGCTCCTAGAAAGCTGGAAGTTTGTTTTGTTCATTATTATATTCCTAGTGTTTGACACAGTGCTTAGAACATATAAAATGTTCAATATGTATTTGCTGAGTAACAAAAAAAACCTGTGCGGTGCCTGGCACGTAGTAGGTACTGAGAAAGTAGTACTGCCTTCATATCACTTACAAAGGAACTTATTCTTAGAGCTAGGCTGGAAAGCTTTTACTTCTTACTTATATATATAAATTTTATTCCCTTTAACATATGAAGTTGAAGATCTGCCAGTTACGGTAGTCTCCCTTACCCAGGGGATATGTTTCAGACCCTGGTGGATGCTGGGAACCACGGATAGTTCTGAACCCTATATACTGTGTGTTTTTCCTTTAAATACTATACATAACTATGGTAAAGTTTCATTTATAAATTAAGAACAGTAAGAGTTTAACAGCAGTGACTAATAATAATAGGACAGTTATAGCAATATACTCATCACAGTTTCACGGATAGAAGATTCATTCTTCCTAAGATTTTAGCACCCTCAGCATACGGGTTTTTTCCTTTCCTTCTTGAGAACTTTCACCTTTTCACTTAAATGAAGCACTTTATGACTTATCTTTAGCATATCCCAATTGCGGGCATCATTACTCTTGCACTTTGGGGCCATTATTAAGTAAAGTGTTGCTTGAACACAAGCACTACAATACCACCGCAGTAGATCTGATAACCAAGACGACTACTGAGCGACTAACAGGTGGGTGGCACATGCAGTGTGGAGGGAAGCAGTGAGGCAGCTGAGGACTTCATGACACTACTGAGAATGGCTCACAATTTTAAACTTAGGAACTGTTTCTGGAATTTTCCCTTTACTGTTTTTGGACCTCGGTTGGCCACAGGTAACTGAAGCTATAGAAAGCAAAACCATCAATAAAGGAGGACTACTGTATTTTGTGGTAAGAAGATTAAAGTTTCTTTTCATGTGCCCTTACTTTCTAGCAGTGTGTTATAGGCAACAGTAGCAGTGAGGGCAGTCCTGCTACTACCCCCACACTGTCCACGGGATCACCTCCCAGGGAGACTCCATCGCATCCTACTGCCGGCGTGCTGTCCCCAGGGTCACCTCCCAGGGAAACTCCATCACGTCCTACTGCCAGCGTGCTGTCCCCAGGGTCACCTCCCAGGGAGACTCCATCGCATCCTACTGCCGGCGTGCTGTCCCGAGGGTCACCTCCCAGGGAGACTCCATCCAGAACTGGTTCTTCAGCATCAGGTAGTGGATCAGGACAATCAATGTTTCAAACTCCATTCACTGTGTGATGAGCTCTCACTGTGTACCCCAGGCACTGATGTGGAAGTACAGCAGGATTTTTTATTTTTTACTTTTTTCTTTTTGTCAAAAAAAAAATGAGGGCCTGTTTACACACAATAAAATTCACCGATTTTAGGAGTACAAACAAGAATTCTGACAGATGTGCACCTTCGTGTAAGCACCACCACAATCACCATATAGAACATTTCTGTCACCCCAGAAAGTTCTGTGACCCTCACCAGTCAGTCTCTGCACTGACCTTTGGTCTCCTGGCAGGTACTGGTTTGCTTTCTTTGAAACACTTTAGTTTGCTTTCTCTGTAATTTATGTATTGAATCAGACAGTATGCCGTCTTCCGTATTAGGATTCTTTCAGTTAGCATGATGCTGTTGAAACGAGAGACACCCCCTGTGGCCTTTAAAGCTTAGATCTGTGATCCGTTTTGAGTTAATTTTTGTGTATGGTATGAGGAAGGGTCAATATACTTTCTTTACATTGGGATATCTAATTATTCCTGCCCTGTTTGTTTAAAGGATGAATCCTTCCCCCATTAAATTGCCTTGACACCTTTGTTGAAAATCACTTGACCATATATGTGTGGGTCTATTTCTGGACTCTCTTTTCTGTTCCACTGATCTGTATGGCCAGCTTTAGGCCAATACCACACTTTGGAGTAATGTAACTTTCAAGTAAGTCTTGAAGTCTGGTGAAGTAAGTCCCTCAACTTAATTCTTCTTTCAAAATGATTTTGAATATTTTAGATCCTTTGTCCATATAAATTACAGATTCCATTTCTCAGTTTCTAAAAAAAAGTCTTCTGGTGTTTTGATTGAAATTGTGTTGAATCTATAGATGATCCGTTTTCAAAGAATTATCTTCCTAATGATATTGAGTATTTTGATCCACAAGTAGGATTTCTCTATTTAGGTCTTTACCTCTTCTCAGCAATGTTTTATAGTTTTCAGCCTGCAACTCTTAGACATATTTTGCTAAATTTATCTCTTAAGGATTTTATAATTGTTGATGCTATTGTAAATGGCTTCTAAAATTTTCAGTTTGCAATTGTTTGTTGTTAACATATAGAAATTTAGTCAAATTGTGTATTTTTAACTTACATTCTGCAGTCTTGCTAAACTCCTTTATTAGTTTTAGCAGCTCTTTTGTAGATTCTGCAGAACTTTTCTACACCATCTTTATTATCTGCAAATAGAGTTTTACTTCTTTTTTTCCATCTGTATGCCTTTATTTGTCTTGTCTCATTGAACTGGCTAGGATCCCCAGCGAAGTGTTTAATAAAAATAGGAACGTAGACACTTTTGCCTGGTTCAGAGTCTTAAGGGGAAAGCAGTTAGTGTTTCATCATTAAGTATGATGTTAAATGTAAGTTTTCCTTGAATGCCCTTATCAGATGGAGGAAGTTCTCTTCTACTGCTGCCCTGCTGAGATGCCTTTTCTGCATCTGTTGAGATATTCATGTGGTTTTCCTCCCGTCTTCTATTACTGTGGTGAATTACCTCCATTTTCTGACAATAAATTAACCTTGCATTTGGTCATGCTCTTTTATCCTTTTTTATATGTTGTTGGATTATCTTTCTAATATTTTGTTACACATTATTGCATCTCTGTGCAGAATATTGGTCCATTTCCTTTCTTTACTTATAATGTCTTTGTTTGGTATCGGTAATTCTGGCCTCAAAATTGAGCTAGGAACTATTCTTTGCTATTCTGTTTTCTGGAAGAGTTTGTGTTGAACTGTTGCTACTTATTTGTATGTTTGGTAGAATTTACCAGTGAATCTTTCTGGGCCCGGAGTTTTCTCAGTGAGAAGGATTTTAATAACAAATTTAAATTCTCTAATAGATATAGGTCTTATCAGGTTATCAGTTTCTTAGTGATCTTTGGTAATTTGTATCTTCTAAAAAAATGTATCTATTTCATCTAATTTGTTGAGTGTATTGGCATAAAGTTTTAATAATATTCCCTTTTCTTTTTAATGTCTGTGGGTTTTATAGTAATGTACCTCTCTTACTGCTGGTATTCGTATTTTTTCCTGATCAATCTGACTGTATGTTTATCAATTTTAATAACTTTTCAAAGAAGCAACTTTTGATCTCAGTGGATTTTTTTTTCCTTTTTTTTTTTTTGGTGGTGGTGGGGGGTTATTTTATTGATTTATGCTCTAATTTTTTTTCTTGAGACGGAGTCTCGCACTGCTGCCTGGGCTAGAGTGCAGTGATCTCGGCTCACTGCAGCCTTCACCTTCCGGGTTCAAGTGATTCTCCTGCCTCAGCCTCCTGAGTAGCTGGGATTACAGGTGCCCACCACCATGCCTGGTTAATTTTTTTTATCTTTAGTAGAGATGGGGTTTCCCCATGATTTGCCCACCTCAGCCTCAAAGTGCTGGGATTACAGGCATGAGCCACCACATCTGGCCTATGCTCTAATTTTTATTACTACTTTTCTGTTTATTTTGGATTTTATTTGTTCTTTTTCTCATTTCTTAGGGTAGAAGCTTAGATCACTGAATTAAGGTTTTTCTCCCCCAATATAAACATTTAATATTACTGAATGCTCTAACCATCATTACATCCCTCAAATTTTGGTATGTTATATTTTTATTTTCATTCAGCTTAAATAGGTTTTTTTTTTTTTTTTTTTTTTTTTTTTTTTTTTTTTTTTTTGAGCCAAGGTCTCACGTGACTTCCCAGGCTGGAGTGCAGTGGTATGATCCCAGCTCACTGCAGCCTCAAACTCCTGGGCCCAACAACCCTCTGGCCTTCAGCTTCCTGAGTAGTTGGGACTGCAGGCATATGCCACTGGGCCTGGCCAGTCTAAAATATTTCTAATTTCACTTGTATTTTCTTCTTTGATCTTTGAGTTATTTAGAAAGGCTTGATTTCCTAATATGTGGAGACTTTTTAGATATTTTTATTTTATTAATTTCAATTTAAATGTGGTCAGATAACTTTTTTTGTATTTGTAAATTTACTGAGACATTGTGTTTTGGTCCATCTTGATGAATGTTTCATGTGCATTTGAACAGAGTATGTGTTCTGCTATTGTTGAGTCATGTGTTCTATAAATGTAAATTAGATAAAGTTGGTTGATGACACGGATCCAACCTTCTCTATTCTAACTGATTTTCTATCTGTTTTACAAGTTATTATGATACAGCTCTTATATGTCCAGCTGTAATTGTGGATATCTCTATTTTTTCTTATAGTGCAATGAGTATTTGCTTCATGTATTTTGAAGGTCTTTTATTAGGTGTATATACACTGAAGGTGATTACATCCTCTTGATGAATTGATCTTTTTTTTTTATTTTTGAGACGGAGTCCCACTCTGTTGTCAGGCCCAAGTGCTGTGGCACAATCTCGGCTCACTGCAACCTCTGCCTTCCAGGTTAAAGCGACTCTCCTAGCTCAGCCTCCCAAGTAGCTGGGATTACAGGTGCATGCCACCACGCCCAGCTAATTTTTGTGTTTTTGGTAGACACGGGGTTTCACCATGTTTGCCAGGATGGTCTCAATCTCTTGACCTTGTGATCTGCCCGCCTTGGCCTCCCAGAGTGCTGGGATTACAGGCGTGAGCCACCGCAGCCGGCCGAATTGATCTCTTTATCCGGAAATATGTCTTGCTTTGAAGTCTGCTTTGTCTCGTATCAGTGTTTCCAGTCCAGCTTTGTTTTGATTAGTGTTTACATGGTATTTTGTTTTTCATCTCTTTACTTTTAGCTTCTCCGTGTCTTTATATTTAGAGTGAGTCTCTTGTAACCACCACGGAGTTGGGTATTGCTTTTGATCCATATGATGATCTCGGCCTTTTACTGCAGTGCTTGCTTAGGCTGTTTACATTTAACGTGACTATTAACATGGTTAGGTTTAAGTCCAATCTTTTGTCTTGCTGCGATTTCGGTTGATCTCATCTGCCCTTTCTTTTTGTTCCTCCCACTTTTTTTTTTTTCTTTTTTGCCTTTTGGGTTAATTGTGTGTTGGCTTTTCAAGTATACCAATTTTTTTTTTTAAGTTTTTGCTCTAGGATTTACTTTTTTTTAATTTTTATTTTTTCTTGAAGACTGAGTCTCGCTCTGAGTCGGGCTGGAGTGCAGTGGCGTGATCTCGGCTCACTGCAGCCTCTGCCTCCCAGGTTCAAGCTGTTCTCCTGCCTTGCCTCAGCTTCCCAGTTAGCCAGTCCTATAGACATGTGCCACCACACCCAGCTGATTGTTTTGTATTTTTAGTGGAGACAGTGTTTCACCGTGTTGACCAGGCTGGTCTCAAGCTTCTGACCTCCGGTGATCTGCCCACCTCAGCTTCCCAAAGTGCTGGGATTACAGGCATGAGCCACCATGCCCAGCCTGCTCTAGGATTTACAGCGTACATCTTTTATTTACCACAGTTTACCTTCAAATATTATACCTATTGTGTCGCTTTATGTATTAGAACCTTAAAACGGAGTACTTCCATTTCCCCCTTGTCTTTGGTGCTATTTTTGTCATCCTTTTAACATGTGTAAAAAAAAGCCCACAATAACATTGTTATTATTTTTGCTTTAAACGGTAACAACCTTTTAAAGTCTTCTTGTGTGGGTTTTTTGTTGTGGTGGTGGTGGTTTTTTTTGACACAGGGTCTCACTCTGTTACCCAGGCTAAAGTGCGCTGGTGCAGTCATAGCTCACTGTAGCCTCAAATGCCTGGGCACAAGCAATCCTTCAGCCTCAGCCTCCGGAGTAGGTAGGACTACAGGCACACACCACCACACTCAGCTGATTTTTTATTTTTATGGAGGTGGGATCTCACTATGTTGCCCAGGCTGGTTTTGGACTCGTGGCCTCAAGCAGTGGTCTCATCTTGGCTTCCCAAAGTGTCAGGATTACAGGTGTAAGCCACCATGCCCAACCTAAAGATATTTTTTAATGAGGAAAATTTTTTATTGCGTTTACCCATATATTTAGTTTTTTTAAAAAAATTAGACAAATCTTTTTGTTTTGTATTTTTAATTCCTTCAGAGTCAAGGAGAAGGATCTAGAAGAGTCAAATGCAAGATAGGAAAGGAATGATCCTAAGGCTTCATAAGCAGCAATCAAAGTGTGGTCTTTGGGGTGAAGTTTCTCTCTTGTGACAGGAGGAAGGGGAGGAGGGAGCACATATATGATTAATTGTGTATGTTTGGTATCATGAAGCTGAGCAGTTTGCTTTCTGATGCCTTCTTTTTTCTTCGTAAAATAGGTGAGAGTGAGGGAGGAAATAGAGAAGTTGAAAATAATCATTGCTGGGGTAGATTAGTGCATTGACCAGAGAATGGTAGCAGGATTCCCAGGCATTTTGATGGTCCATTTGAGGTTGGTGGTGATGAATTTATTGTAGAAACACTGGACCCCGTATGTGAGTTTTTCCATGCATTTGCCTAAACTTTGGTTTAGGTAAGAACAAAGTCAATAATTGGCTTTATTGGAGTTGGCATTTTGACAGTTACGAAAAGTCAGAGGGAAAAAGGAGTCTAAGGTATTGCAAGGTGTGTTACTGAATGGCGAACTGAGGACTTAGCCTGAATAGTGAAGGAACTCCCGGAAGACTCAGATAAATTTATAGTTGAAATAATTGAACAAGCCAATGAGAAAGGGAAGCTGAGATGTTAATGATTTTGGAGATGGAACAGTTACAGGTGATGACAGAGGACAATGTGTGTGGCCTTGAGAGTGATAGCTCGTTAGCAATGGAAAAAGAGATCTTGGGAAGACCAGAGAACCAGGAGGCTGTTCACAGGGAGGAGGATGTTTCCTGGAAATAACGGTTGGGCTGGCAGATGAGGAGGACTGTATGAAGCAAGAGTCTTTGAAGAATGAGAACCAGCTTGGCAAATCAGTCAGACAGGTCTTTTCTAATTATTTGTTGTTGATTTTTGACAGGAAGCAGCGACTGCAGTATATACTTTACTAGTAGTGCTTATTCTTCTGAAATCCCCCAAAATGGGCAGCAATCTCAGGATGTACAGAAAAAAGAAATATTTCCCAGTGTCACCGAAGAGTCCATCTGGAGAATGATACAGCAGACACCTGAGTGCATTCTCATGACGTATCAGGTACCTGAGAGGTAAGAAAGCACTTTAAAAGACCCACTTTTTATATTTTCATGGTTTCTTTTTTTCTTTTTTGAGATGGAGTCTCAGTCACCCAGGCTGGAGTGCAGTGGCACAATCTCGGCTCGCTACAACCTCTCCCTCCCAGTTTCAAGCAATCTCCTGCCTCAGCCTCCTGAGTAGCTGGGATTACAGGCACACACCACCACACCTGGCTAATTTTTGCATTTTTAGTAGAGATGGGGTTTTTGGTTTTCCTTTTTTTCTTTGAAACAGAGTCTCTGTCGCCCAGACTGGAGTGCAGTGGCGCGATCTCAGCTCACTGCTACCTCCGCCTCCCCGATTCAAGCGGTTCTCCTGCCTCAGCCTCCTGAGTAGTTGGAATTACAGGCATACACCACCATATCTGGGTAGTTTTTTGTATTTTTAGTAGAGATGGGGTTTCACCATGTTGTTCAGGTTGGTCTCAAACTCCTGGCCTCAAGTGATTCACCCACTTCAGCCTCCCAAAGTGCTGGGATTACAGGCGTGAGCCACTGCACCTGGCCGAGACAGGGTTTCATCATGTTGGCCAGGCTGGTCTTGAACCACTGACCTCATGTGATCCACCCGCCTCAGCCTCCCAAAGTGCTGGGATTGCAGGTGTGAGCCACTGCGCCCAACTTGTGGTTTATTAATGTGTTTTTAAAGACAAAATAATGTTTAAATGTTTTATAACTTCCCTTTGAAAAATGTATTTTCAAATTTATTCATTTGAAATCAAATGATGAATGATTTCTTAAAATAAGGATGGCAGTGATAATGCCACCTATATTGAGATCTAGACTAAGCAAAGCTTACACATCATGAGACAAGGAAACAAAGTCTGTGCTTTCCACGATGGCACACAAGTACAAGAACTTTTTCGTTTTAGATTCTTGATTTTTTTTTTTCCTTGTTCTGAAAGAAAACAGCTAAGGGAAATCTCTTTCTTCCATACACCTCATTAAAACATCATACATATAGTTTCCACCAAGAAAAAAGTCTACCTACTTGACAAGGAAATGCTCTAGTTATTTTTTAATTGTACGCCTCATATGTTAGAAATGTAAGGCGTATTACCAACCAAAAAGAAATGATATTGCTAGATGACATGGTAAGAACCCTGTGTCTGATTCAGCACTCTTATGATTCTGTTTGTTTTCAGAGTTAAAGAAGTTGTACTAAAAGAAGACCTAGAAAGGCTAGAGAGTATGAAGCAGCAGCAGCCCCAGTTTTCTCATGGGCAACAGGAGGAGCTGGCCAAGGTGTATAATTGGATTCAAAGCCAGGCTATCCCTCAGGAAATTGACGTTCAAGTAAGCACAGTAATAATGGCTGTCATCTACTCGCGTGTTTTTAACAGCTAGTGGTTTTCATGTAAGCCGCGCTTTTGCATGATCCCACTACAAACTTTAATCTTCACAGTTTACCTCTGTGGTAGGTGTTGTTATTTTCTCTTTGCCAGTAAGCAACAAGTAAGGTGTACACAGGTTAAATAATTAGTACAAGGTCATGCAGTTCCTAGGGTTTTGAACACAGATCTTTTTGCATCCAAGTGGTTTTTTGCTTCCACCAGCTAAAAGTTGGGAGACAACAAAGAGTCAAAACACCTGCGTTGATGTGTGATTGGGTGCCTTTGCCATGTGACTTGTTATGTATTTCAGATATGTCTGCATGTCTTAAAAGAGTTAAAAAAAAGATGTAAGATTCACACCAGAGGTAATATTCATGCCAAGCAGAAACTTTAATGGGACCTAAGTGTCTTTTTGCTGTTATGAGATCTTCTCAATGAGATCATTTGTGAATACCCTGAACCAGTAAAGCTTTGATTTAACACTGGTTCCAACCAGTGTTGGTAGCAGCTGTGGTAATGGTAGAGATGGTTGTACTAGTAATGAGGTCTTTATTCCCACAAGTATCAAGTTATGGGAGGTTGAAGAGTCAAAATAAAAACAATAGCAAATAGGCCTAGCCCAGTGGCTCACGTCTGTAATCCCAGCACTTTGGGCAGCCAAGGCGAGAGGATCAGGAGTTGGAGACCACGCTGGGCAGCACAGCCAAACCTCGTCTCTAATAAAAATCCAAAAAAGTAGACGGTGTGGTGGCTTGCACCTATAGTCCCAACTACTCAGGAGGCTGAGGCAGGAGGATCACCTGAGCCTGGGAAATTGAGGCTACGGTAAGCTATGATGTCACCACTGCACTCTAGCCAGTCTCAAAAAAGAAAAAGAGTTTGTGTGTGTGTGTGTGTGTGTGTGTGTGTGTGTGTGTGTGTGTGTGTTGTGTGTAAAAATATTTAAAAACGAGAATAAAGTTAGGTGTTTTTAAAAGATGTGATATTAAGGCTTACAAAGTAAGCAAAACAATGAAATCCTATTCCCCCCTTCTTAAAAATTAACACTTTTTTATTGTGGTGTAATACACATAACATAAAATTTACCTTCTGAACTATTTTTATGTATATAATTTGGTAATATTAATTATTTTCACATGCAACAATCACCACTATCCATCTCCAGAACACTCTTCATTTTGCAAAACTGAAACTCTACCCATTCAACAATAATTTCCCCCACTTTTACACTGTTGGTGGGAGTATAAATTAGTTCGGCCATCATGGAAGACTGTGTGGCAATTCCTCAAGGATCTAGAAATGGAAATTCCATGTGACTGAGCAATCCCATTACTGGGTATATACCCAAAGGATTATAAATCATTCTGTCATAAAGACACATGCACACATATGTTCGATGGGATGCTGTTCACGATAGCAAAGACCTGGAACGAACCCAAATGCCCATTGATGATAGACTGGACAAAAAAATTTGGCACATATATACCATACGCAGCCATAAAAAACGATGAATTCGTGTCCTTTGTAGAGACATGGATGAACCTAGAAACCATCATTCTCAGCAAACTGACACAAGAACAGAAAACCAAACACCGCATGTTTTCACTCATAGGCGTGTGATGAGCAATGAAAGCTCTTGGGCACAAGAAGGGAACAGCGCTTACAGGGCTAGGTTGGGGGATGAAGGGGAGGGACAGTGGGGTAAGGCGGGGAGGATGGAGGGGGTAGCACCAGAAGACATGCCTGACGTAGGCAACGGGTGGGTGGGGAGATGGAGACGACAAACCACCATGGCATACGTGTACCTGTGCAGCAGTGCTGCGGGATGCAGGACATGCGCATGTACCCAGGGCCCAAAAACAGTTAAAAAAAATAAATAACTTCCCCTTTCCTCCTTCTCCCAACCCTTTACAACCACGGGTCTACTTTCTCTTTTTGCTTTTTTTTTTTTTTTTTTCCTTTTGAGACAGAGTCTTGTTCTCTGGCCCACACTGGAGTGCAGTGGCATGTTTTTTGGCTTACTGCAACCTCTGCCCCCAGGTTCAAGCAATTCTCCTGCCTCAGCCTCCAGAGTAGCTGGGATTGCAGGTGCACACCACCATGCCCAGCTAATTTTTCTAGAGACAGGGTTTCACCATGTTGGCCAGGCTGGTCTCAAAGTCCTGACCTCACGTGATCCACCTGCCTGAGCCTCCCAAAGTGCTGGGATTACAGGCGAGAGACGTATGAACTTGACTACTCTACACACCTTATGAGTGGAATCATACATTATTTGTCTTGTTATAACTCTCTCTTGGTTACTATTTGCATGTAATATCTTTTTACATCCTTTCAACTTATTTGTGTCTGCATCTAAAGTGAGTAAATAGCATATATCTGAATGGTGCTTTAAAAAATTTGTTCTGTCAGTCTCTTTTGATTGGTGAATTTAGCCCATTTACATTTAAAGTAATTACTGGTAAAGAAGGGCTTACTTGTGTCACTTTGCTATTTGTTTTCTATGTGCCTTAAATGTTTTTTTCCCCTCATTTCCTGTATTAGTGTCATCTTTTGTGTTTAGGTGGTTTCTTGAAGTGAAATGTAATGCCCTGCTCTTTTCCTGTTGTGTATATTGTGTAGCTATTTTCTTTGTGATAACCATGGGGATTACATTCAGCATTCTAACATTATATCACTCCAGTTTGAATTTATAAACAGCTCAACTTTGATAACCTACAAAAACTCTGCTTCTATAGAGTTCCATCTCCATCTTCTTTCAGTTACCGAAGGTATAAAATTAGGTATTTGTACATTGTGCTTCCAAAAATATAATCATTTTTATGCATTAATCTATTATATAGACATCAGAATATGGGATTACAAATCAAAGTTAAAATAATACTAGCTTGTATAGACTAGGTTTCTTTGAATGTATTAGTTTCTTAAAAACAAAAAGTGGAATTATACATCACTGTTGCAATAATAATATTTACCTTCACTGGAATCTTTATTTTTTCATACAGCTTCAAGTTACTGTCGGTGTCCTTTCATTTCAACCCTGAAGGACTCCTCTTAGCATATCTTGGATGATAAGTCTAGTGGTATCAAACTCCATTGGCTTTTGTTTATCTGGAAATGTCTTCACTTCTCCCTTACTTTTGAAGATCAGTATGGCCAGACAAAGGATTTCTTAGTTGACAGGTTTTTTTTCTTTAAGCACTTTGAATACAATGGGCCACTGCCTTCTAAGATATCTGCTGATAACCTTGTCAAGAATCTTCTGCATGTGACGAGTTGCTTTTCCCTTGCTGCTTTTAAGATTCTCTTTGTTTTTGACTTCATGCTATTTAATTACAGTGTGTCTCAGTGTGGATCTCTGATTCTGAGTACATCCTAGTTGGAGTTCATTTAGCTCTTGGATGTTTGTATTCATGTCTTTCATCAAATCTGGGGAGTTTCCAGCCCCCCCCCCCTTTTTTTTTTTTTTTTTTAAATAATCTTTCTGCCTCTTTCTCTTTTTTTTTCCTCTGGGACCTCCATAGTGCATAAGTTGGTCCACTTGATGGTATCCCACATGTCCTCCAGGCTCTGTTGACTTTTCTTCAGTGTTTTTTCTTTTTGTTTCTCAGACTTGACAATTTCAATTGTCCTGTCTTCATACACAGATTCTTCCTTCTGCCTGCTCACATCTGCTTTTGAATCCCTCTAGTGAATTTTTTATTTCAGTTTTGTACTTTTTATTTACAGAATTTCTTTCTGGCTTCTTTTTAGGTTTTCTGTCTCTTTATTGATATTTCCATTTGTTTATACATTGTTTTCTTGATTTTTCTCCATGCCTTTCTTTAATTCTTTCTTTTTTTTTTATTGCATTTTAGGTTTTGGGGTACATGTGATGAACATGCAAGATTGTTGCATAGGTACACACATAGCAGTGGGTTTGCTGCCTTCCGTCCCCTCACCTGTATCTGTCATTTCTCCCCATGCTATCTCTTCCCACCTCTCCACCCTCCCGCCCCTCCCCCATTTCCTCCCAACGGATCCCAGTGTGTAATGCTCCCCTCCCTGTGTCCATGTGTTCTCATTGTTCAACACCCGCCTATGAGTGAGAATATATGGTGTTTGATTTTCTGCTCTTGTGTCAGTTTGCTGAGAATGATGGTTTCCAGGTTCATCCATGTCCCTACAAAGGACGTGAACTCATCGTTTTTGATGGCTGCGTAATATTCCATGGTGTATATGTACCACATTTTCCCTATCCAGTCTATCATCGTTGGGCATTTGGGTTGGTTCCAGGTCTTTGCTGTTGTAAACAGTGCTGCAATGAACATTCGTGTGCACGTGTCCTTGTAGTAGAATGATTTATAATCCTTTGGATATATACCCAGTAATGGGATTGCTGGGTCAAATGGGATTTCTATTTTTAGGTCCTTGAGGAATCGCCACACTGTCTTCCACAATGGTTGAATTAATTTACATTCCCACCAACAGTGTAAAAGTGTTCCTATTTCTCCACGTCCTCTCCAGCATCTGTTGTTTCCCGATTTTTTAATGATCGCCATTCTAACTGGTGTGAGATGGTATCTCAGTGTGGTTTTGATTGGCATTTCTCTGATGACCAGTGATGATGAGCATTTTTTCATATGTTTGTTGGCCTCCTGTATGTCTTCTTTTGTAAAGTATCTGTTCATATCCTTCGCCCATTTATGAATGGGCTTGTTTGTTTTTTTCTTGTAGATCTGCTTTAGTTCTTTGTAAATTCTGGATATCAGCCCCTTGTCAGATGGGTAGGCTGCAAAAATTTTTTCCCATTCTTTTGGTTGCCGATTCACTCTACTGACTGTTTCTTTTGCCGTGCAGAAGCTGTGGAGTTTGATTAGGTCCCATTTGTCTATTTTGGCTTTTGTTGCCATTGCTTTTGGCGTTTCGGTCATGAAGTCCTTGCCTACACCTATGTCCTGAATGGTTTTGCCTAGATTTTCTTCT